TAAATATAAAAGAAGCAGCGAATCTAGAAGACTAGAAAGGAACATGTTTAGTCAGACTGCCAAACAAAGATGAAAAACAAAAAATATGGAAAACAATAGTAAACTTAAAGAAGGGAAAAAAGAAAAAAATATATATATAAACGACAAAGGAATTACAAATACAGAAGGAAAAACGAAGAATAGCAAGAAATGAAATAAAGAAAGGTAAACGTGTCCAAATTAAAGCCAACAAACTGATAATATCCTAGAGGTGGTTCAAAAAACTAGCAAGGGATGAGAGGATGCATTATTCGTTGATGGACGAGACAAAGAAACAGAAAATGACTGCAGATAAACTCGGGTACAACAAAAGTGACATAAAGAAAGATAGACAAGAAAACAAAAATAAAAGACGAAGACAACAGTACAAAAAAAATAAAGAGCAATTAAAAATAAACACATGGAACATAAGAACTATGCTAGCTCCAGGAAAACTACTACAAATAGGAAAAGAGCTTAAAAAGTATAAAATAGATATTGCAGCACTGCAAGAATTATGCTGGGAGGGACAAGGTCAGATTGATAAACAAGACTTTACAATGTTATATTCAGGAGCAAAGAAACAAGGGCAAAGAGGGGTCGGATTCATGATACTAAGGCACCTAATAGAGAAAATCATAAATTTCAAGCCAATATGCCAAAGGATGGCCTATGTTAGAGTCAATAACAAACCATTGAATATATCAGTCTTGAACTTGAAGCCCCCACAGAAACAAGCAATCCAGATGATAAAGAAATATTTTATGATAGGGTCAAAGAGGAGATATAAAAATATCCAAAGAAGATGTCATATTTGTACTAGGAGACCTTAATGCCCAGATTGGAAAAGAGGACTTTTTACAACAAACTGCAGGAAATCATACAATACACGTAAACACGAATGACAATGGACAAAGACTATGTAACCTAGCAACAAGAACAAGTTTGTTAATAAGCTCAACAAAATTTGACCTCCCTTAAATACATAAGGTAACATGGAGGTCACCAGATCAAAAAACATATAGTCAAATTTATCACATAATAATTAATAAACGAAAACAGTCGTCAATAAAAAATGTAAGAATAGTTCTTCTTAAAGTGCCCTCTCCTCAATGGAGGTTGGCTACTACAATTTTAAACTCTTCTCTATCTTCAGCTGTTCTTATTAGCTGTTCAAAATTTAGCCCTGTCCATTGTCGGATGTTTCTGAGCCATGATAGTCTTTTCCTTCCTAGGCCTCTCTTTCCCTCGATTTTTCCGTTCACTATAAGTTGGGCATATTGGTACTTATTATTTCTCAGTATGTGGCCTAGGTATGATGTTTTTCTTACTTTTACTGTGTTAAAAAGTTCTCTTTCCTTGCCTATTCTATGCAGCACTTCTTCGTTTGAGGTATGCGATGTCCATGAAATTTTGAGTATTCTCCGGTAGATCCACATTTCAAAGGCCTCCAATTTATTTACGGTTGATGTTTTAAGGGTCCACGTTTCAACTGCATATAGAAGAGTCGACCAGACGTAGCATTTTGATAAACGTAGTCGAATTTCGAGTTTTATTCGAGAATCACAAAGCAGTTTTTTTATTTTTTCGACAGATTTTCTAGCCTGTTCTATTCTCGATCTTATTTCTTGATCAGGATTTAGGCTGCTATCGATCCAACATCCCAGGTACTTAAATCTATTGACCTGTTCTAAGATGTGCCCATTTATTGTGCAAGGTTGAGGTACGTTTTGGTTTTTTCGGATTGACATCACTTTGGTTTTTTTAATGTTTATTTTCATACCAAATTGCTCACAGGTCGAGTTGGTCTTGTCGATGAGTCGTTGTAGACCTGAGTCGGAATCCGCAATTAACACTGTATCATCGGCGTATCTGATACTGTTGATATTTACGCCATTCACCTTGACTCCATCCTTGGAATCCTCCAATGCTTCTTTAAATAGAAACTCGGAGTAAAGATTAAACAGCAGAGGCGACAGAACACATCCCTGTCTAACTCCCCTCCTAATTTCTACTTCTGCGGATGTGGAACCTTCGATCCTAACTCTGGCTTTTTGGTTCCAGTACAAGTTTTTTAAAAATTTGATGTCTTTTCCATCTAAACCGACTTCTTGCAAACGTTCTAATAGTAGGTCGTGTCTTACTCTATCAAATGCTTTTTCGAAGTCTATAAAGCATATAAATATATCTTTCTGTTGGTCGTAGCATTTTTGGGCGAGAACTAGTAAACTGAACAGGGCTTCTCTCGTTCCCATGCCGGCTCTGAATCCAAACTGTAAGAATAATAACAGTTCAAATAAAAAAGCAGAAGATATAAACACAGAATGGGAGACGATAAAAAATCAATAAAAGAAGGTGTAAAATTGCAGGTAGGTAAAAGTCAGGCTAAAACAAAAAACGGATGGTATGACCAAGAATGTAGAGAAATAACAGGAAAAAAGTGCAAGCTAGAAATAAATGGCTAAGAACAGATAAAGAGGAAGACAAAGAAGAATATGAAAAATTAAGAAGGCGATAAGGCAAGAAAGTGATAAGGCAAAATAAAAGAAGATGGGTAGACGAAAAAATGCAGGAAAGAACAAACAAAAAGACGAAAAATTTTTACAAAAAGATTAAAACACAAAACAAAAAATACAAAGGAATAAAAAATAGAGAGGGAACAGTGATAACAAACAGATGATCAAAAATACAAGCAAGTATGGAAGGATTCCTACAAAGAGCTCTTGACGGAGGAAACAGCAGGAGAAGAAATGCATAACGAGGAGGAAACGGTGCACAAAGAAGAAGCAGACAAAGTAGATGAAGTAGACATCGAAATTTCAAAACAACCAACATTAGAGGAATTGGATGAAGTAATACAGAGAAGCAAAAATAGAAAAGCCCCTGGTAAAGATGGAATTAATATCGAACTAATAAAATACGGAGGAAGGGAACAGAGAGGAAAAATCCTGGCACTATTAAAAAATATATGGAAAGAAGAGAAAATGCCAGAGGAGTGGAAGGTATGGCAGATCATAACAATACATAAAAAGAGAGACCAACAAATCTGTGAAAATTATAGAGGAATAAGGTTACTAAATACAACATATAAAATATTGATATCAATAATAAAAAGGAGGTTATCAAAGATCACAAAGAAGACAGTACCAACGTGGATTCGCGGAAGGAAGATCTACAATAGATGTAATCCACACAATAAAATAAATAATGGAAAAAGCAGACGAATATAAATTAGAATTGGAAATGTTATTCATAGACTTCAAACAGGCATTTGATTCAATTAAAAGGAAAGGATTAATGATTGCACTTAAAAACTTAAAAATTTCACGTAAACTCAGAAAATTAATAGAAATGACAATGAAAACTACAAAAATAAGCATAAATGCACAAAGAGGGGAGACAGAGGAATTTAGTATAAATAAAGGGATGAGGAGATACCTTATCAACAACGATATTTAATCTAGTATTCGAATACGTACTACGAAATATAAATGAAGGAAAAATAATGAAAGAAATGCTAGAAGAAATAAGAGAGAAAGGGGAGGTAATGAAACTAAGACTAAATCAAGAAAAACAAAAATATTAAGACTAGGGAAAAAGCCAATGAAAAAAATCAAATTAGGAAGTTCTGAAAAAATATTAGCAGCGAATAAAACTTATTTTGTAAACAAAAGATTACTTAAAAGCAAAACATTGACTAAGAAAACTAACATGAACATTTATAACACCCTAATTAGGCCAATATTATTATATGCAGGAGAAACAATGACGATGGTTAAAAAAGATAAAGAAGACTTAAGAATAGCAGAGAGAAAGATTATGAGAACCATATTAGGACCAATCAGAGCAAAGCAAAATGAATATAGAAGCAGAACAAATGCAGAGATTAAAAAAAACATTCTAACTAAAATAAAGCAATGCAGAATTAGATGGTTAGGACACATTTGGCGAGAAGGAGATGAGGCAGTGACATACGCAATGTCAGAATGGAATCCAGGAGAAAGAAAGAGTAGGGGAAGACCAAGATCGAAGTGGCTGGAAGGGAGAGGAAAAACTAGAGACAGGAAAAAATGGAGAGATATTGTCAAGAAGATAACATAAACAAAAGGGACTGATCCACCCAAGAAATAGGATCTAGAAAGCATTCGCGGTTTAACCCCACGCTGTGGTGTATAGCCATTATATGGATATATAACATATCAAAAAGTCAAATCTGACTGTTGAATCAGGTTCTTTACACATGTATGATACTATTCACGAATTTTTTTGTAGTAGAATACACGTAGATGTAAATATTATTGTTATTATATCGAATAGCACTAAGAATTACATTTTACATTTTGTTGTAACGTTTCAATTTCCCATCAGGAAGTCGTTTTCAAAATAAAAATTTATAAATTAAGAAATTTTTAAACTAAAAATCTTTATCAATTGTGATTTTTTTAAGTAAAATGCGACAAAACCCTATCTCGGATTTATGTAAGCTTTTCACGCTTTAGTGATGCTTTTTTTATTCTTTTAATGTTTTTAATTCGCTTTTGATTTTTTTTCAAATGCTAAATAATAAATAGGTATTCTTGCAGGTTTCTCAAATCGGCAAATCGGTTGACTACTGTAAAATGTTAAATTTAAACAAAATGGTTGTGGCGTGCAAAAATTAATCTTGATGAATATTTTTAAATACAAAATATAAGTATCCTAAAATATAAGTAGCAATTTCTCGTAAGTTTTAATATATATACATATCTAAAGGTACATTAAACTAAACTAAGCACCATATTGTGATGTCGTAAGCGTTTAAAAACTGGTCAATTATTCAAGTATTCCTGCCTAACTTATATAAATACAACTAATAGGAACAATTCATCTGTTACTTTAACACAAAAATACTTTAACTGGAACATTTTAAATTCTCAAAAATATAAATAAACTATTTAAAGAGAATTCAGGGACGTTTCAATACTAAAATGTATGCAGAGTGTCTATTTATTTTTCTGGCTTTCTTCTGCTATTGACATTAGAGTTTGAGCCGTTCCCTTGCCTGTCTTCATCACTAATGAATAGAAAATTCCTTGTTTATTCTGCAATAAGGCATATGGATGATCAAACTCTACCATTTTTCCAGCATCCATAACTAAAACTTTATCTGAATCCATTATAGTATGTAATCTATGCGCAATTGTTAACACTGTACAGTTTTCAAATTTCTTCCGGATTGTCGTTTGAATCAATCCATCGGTATGGGGATCTACGTTGGCTGTCGCTTCATCTAATACGAGAATTTTATTGTTTCGTATTATAGCTCTTGCTAGACATACCAACTGTCTTTGGCCTACACTGAAATTTGAACCTCCTTCGGCCATTTTGTTGTCCAGACCAGCTGGCAATTCTTCGACGGCGTGTTTCAGTTCGACTTCTTCTAGGGCGCTCCACAGAACCTGAAATATAATAATTAAGATTACAATACATTTAGTCTATTGGAATGTTAGATTTTTTATGCCTTGGCGTTCATTTCTTAGGACGAAATTTTATTTTTTTTATGTATTGGGAGGGTATTCTCCTTTTCAGAGCCTTCTGTCAGTGCGTCACAGTTTTTCGATTTCTTTCTAAGGCATTCAGTTGGATGTGATGAAAAAAGCGGCAGTTCCGTGATTAAAACACGAAAATATTACAGCGTTGCATACACAACCGGTCTATTCTTAACCTACGTTTGATTCGTTGATATTTGAAATGCGCGCTTTCTCTAGCCAATCAGTTACGCGAATCACGAACATTGGATGTAAAACCACCGTAAAACTTCATTCATTTGGCCATCCTTTCGAAGTGTCGAAGAGTGAAGTAATCTTGTCGGTTCAGGTCAGTATTTGACATTATTTCATAGCGTTTTTGTGCATTATTTGTGTTTATATTTTTATTTTGTTTTGGTTTTCATTAAAATATTTTTGAAATGCCAAGATTTACAGAAAAGGAACAAGTTCTGATACTTAAAGTACTTAAATATTTTGAAATAGAAAAAAAAAGCTGGGCAAACTTTATTACCAATTTCTGCTGTTTGTGAACTAAGTTTAAAGTTACACTGAAAATAAAATTGTTTTATTTTAACCTACTGTTTATTTCAGCGTGTTACTGAGGCGCTAGGAATTTCTTTGTCAACAATAAGACGATTGGCGAATGAAGGTGTCCAAAAAGATTCTGATTATTCAATCACAATGAGGCAATCAGTAGCCACGAGTCGTAAACAGACATTATTAATAAATAAATACGAACATGCCATCAGGATGTGTGTATAGAGAATGTTTAGTAAAGGTAAGAGCATTACAACAGTTTAGTTAAAATATTTTACCATATTTCTGATACAAAGGCAGGAGTAACTAATTTCCATAGACATTTCTTTTAATAAATTGTTACTGACTAGTTACATATATAAAATATATAGAAATGAAAAGTGTATAAAAAGAATACTACTGAATTAAATACCAAGTATTTAAATAAAGATTTAATAGTCCTCTTTGCCTTTTTGCTGGAGTATATGCATTTACCTTGTGCAGTTTGGTAAAATATATAGATATATTTTTATAACTCTTATACTTTGGATTATATAAATATGGTTATTACGATTTATGGAAGGAGTACTGTTGCATATAGCAGTTAAATAGACAAATTCCTAATATCAAAACTAACGTTTTACTGTACATTCTTAATATTTTTCTCAGAAGAATCACTATAGTGTCTTTAAACTTTGATCGTTTTAGGTAAGCATGTGACTCTCCAAAACTAACGTTTTACTGTACATTCTTAATATTTTTCTCAGAAGAATCACTATAGTGTCTTTAAACTTTGATCGTTTTAGGTAAGCATGTGACTCTCCATACCCTGATGCAAAAACTAGAGGAAGTGGATGGGATTAATATTTTTATTGCTCCACTTAGTAGAGCTTTAAAGGAATTAAACTTCAGATGGGTAAATTGTAGTGTTGCTAACAGAAATTATTTAATGGAACAACCACATGTGACTTTAAAAAGACTTCAGTTTTTAAAAGCCTATAAGGACAATGAAAGCAATTTATACCCTTTAAAACCAGTTTTCTTGGATGAGAACTGGATATTCAGTAAGGGAAGATTCCGCAAGAGCTGGCAAGATGGCAGTGTTATTGCAGTCAGACAGAAGAATGGAGAGAGGTTCTGAAAATGGGTTCATTGATAACTGTGAATTGATTTTCAAAAGTGGAAGTAAATCTGGTGACTACCATGATTCAATGAATTCTGAGAATATTGAAAAATTGTTCAAACATCAGCTTTTACCAAATTTAGAAGAACTGTCATTAATTATAATGGACAATGCATCATACCATTCAGCTTTGTTGGAAAAAATACCAAATGCTAGTTGGGCAAAACATTCTTTATTAGAATGGTTGAAAAACCGACATGTTAATTGTTCAATGACTATGATGAAATTTGAGTTGATGGATATTGTGAAGAAGCATCTACCCGAAAAAATATTTAAGTATGTATTAGAATTTATTTAATAAGTGGCATTTTTATACATTTTGTTTTACATATTGGATAGACTGGCCCTTCAATATGACCATCGTGTCTTAAGACTGCCTTCATATCATTATCCATTCAATCCAATAGAGAATGTTTGGTCAGACTGCAAAAGGTATTATGATGCCAATATAACTTCTGCTAGCGTTACAAATAAAGCCACAGTATTAAATTAAAAATCATTACAACAGGTAAATTCATTTTTTTTATTCTTAGATACTAACTTTGCTATAATTTAAGGTCACACAAACCACATATTTCCTATAGTCATTGATTTAAGTGAATAGGATTGTGCTTCTTCAGATGATGATTTTGTGGAAATGCCAGAAATAAACTAACACTAAGCTCGTTTTTGTTTTTGTAATTTGTAAGATTATTTGTCTCTAGTTTTCTTGTATTTATTTGTTTATATTTTCTAATTTTATCGTGCAATATTTAGTGTTATTTAGTTCCTTATAATCATAGTATCTCCTAGTTATTTAGTTGATATCCAAATTCTACTTTTCAATGTTTTCAATAAAGTATTTTTATTAGGCATCAGTGAATAAATTGTTTTTAAGATTTGAATTATATCCTGTTTTGTAATTAAATTATAAATTACCTAATAAACATCTTTGAAAACAGTATTTTTTTATTTATAAATTTAATAAACAATGTTGTTTACTATTATTTCATCCACCTTGCAATAAAAGTAGGTACGGTTCTGGCATCTGTCAGAATTCTTAATAAATACATGAAATAATACTCAACATATCCAATACAGTATATAACGCCACAATTAATGACGCACTGAAAAAAGGCTCTGAGAAGGACTATAAGTATAAGCTTAAGTTTAAGTTTGTGGGGTCGCGATACTTGTCTTCCGGCCGCCATCTTGTAAAAAGGAGCAAAGGGTTCTCGCGCTGTAAAGCGTAAACCAGTAAACCTACAGGTAGTTATTAGACTTTACTTGTAGCAAATTAAATTGTCTACAAATTTATTCCTATTATTTTTTATGGTGAAATGAAAAATAAAAAACTTATTAACAAAAATAACTAAAAATTTTTGAACAAATTGTCTTTTCGAAATTAACTTTTTTCTAGTTATTTTACAATAAAATGATGTCAGATCATTATTTTTGAGGATTTTGCAACCAATAATTTTATTAATACTAATTTCAACTAATAAGTTTATTAATTTTTCTTGTCGTAAAGCCGCAGGAGTTGACAACATTTATCCTGAATTTATAAAACACATTGGTCCGAATGCCAGAAAGTGGCTTCTTGAATTCTACAATCAAATACTAACTAAGCAGAAGTTTCCAAAATCCTTCAAAAAAAGTAAGATCATCGCAATATCTAAACCTGGGAAAGACCCTGCATTACCTGAGAGCTACAGACCAATCGCTCTTTTAAGCGCCTGCTACAAGATTTTCGAGAGGATAATCCAAACGAGACTATTTTACTTTACAAAGTCAAATATTCCTAAAGAACAAGCTGAATTCATGCCGGGAAGAAGCTGTGGCGACCAAGTCCTCTCCTTAACAACATTTATTGAGAACGGATTCCAAAAGAACTGAAAACAGTAGCAGCATTCATAGACTTGACCTGCGCCTACGACACAATGTGGAAAAAGGGGCCTTTTATATAAAATATACCAGATGTTACCGTGCCGTGCGTTCAACAGGTTGTTAAACCAAATGCTAAGTGACAGACTTTTCCAAGTACACCTAAATGGGAAAAATAGTAACTTCAGAAACCTGCAAAACGGCTTGCCACAAGGGTCAGTTATGTCTCCTCTACTTTTTAATATTTATACGTCAGATGTACCAACTACCACCTCGCGCAAATTTATTTATGCCGATGACATGGCTTTGGGTGCCCAAGAAGAAGACATAAACCTCGACGAATCCACCATAGAAGCAGATCTAAACACTGTTAACAGATACTTTAAGAAATGGGGCCTACAACCAAACCCATCGAAAACTGAAGTAACAGCTTTCCACCTAAACAACAACAAGGCAAATTACAGACTAAACATAGAATGCGATGGAACCAGGCTAAAGCACAGTGCTAACCCAAAATACCTCGGCGTAACTCTAGATCGTACCCTAACATTCAAAAAGCATTTGGAAAACACTTCAGCAAAAATTAAGACCCGTAATAATATTATCCATAAGTTAGCAAATACATCATGGGGGTCGAATGCAGAGGTAATAAGAACGAGCGCGCTGTCCTTAGTATATCCTACTGCAGAATATTGCGCTCCTGTCTGGCTAAACAGTCATCACACAAAAGTCATAGATACCCAGTTAAATCAAACAATGAGGCACATAACGGGAACTATAAAGCCCACACCAACCCAGTGGCTTCCAGTTTTAAGCAACATCGCTCCACCAGCAACAAGACGACTAGCCGCACTCAACACTCTAGTTCAAAAATGCCAACAAAACCCAGAACTACCGATAAATACAGACATCGCTGAACTACACCAAGGGCAGTTAAGACTGAAATCCAGACATCCACATACTAGAACTGCTACAAAATTGACTGTTTTCACTACCGAAGAGCACTGGATGGGCGAATGGAATCCAGACATCAGAAATTCCAATCTGATAGAAAACCCCACAATCAAACCAGACGGCTTTTCTCTTCCCCGTCGTGAATGGTGCAACCTAAACAGAATACGAGTTGGTCATGGAATTTGTAACAAATCGCTGAATCAATGGGGTATAAATGCCAGCCCGGAATGTGACAAATGCAGCGCCGCTGAACAAACAATTAACCACATCGTCTTCCGAGTGTCCAGCCACCAAGTTCTTTGGCAGCCTTCAAGAAATCCACCAACTTACTCCCAAGGCGACAAATTGGCTTCGAGGATGTCACCTTCGACTTTAATTTTAAATATTTTAATTTTATATGTTCTATGTCAGTGTTTACTTATTTACTTACTTATTTATTATTGTTATTGTCACTTTTTTCTTCCTTTTCTTTATGTATAAACTGTAATGTGTAAAGTTCATACGAATATATATATATATATATATATATATATATATATATACATATATACATATATTTATATATATACATATATATATATATATATATATATATATATATATATATATATATATATATTAGTATAATGGTAAGGTTAATTGGGTTAGCAGCTGAAACTGCTGCTAACTAGCTGCTAACCCAATTAACCTTACCATTATACTAATTAATAATTGGACAGCTGTGATCATTCTTCGTATATATATATATATATATATATATATATATATATATATATATATATATATATATATATATATATATTAATTTTTCTGGGTTTTACAGCAATCTGAAGTTGACCTGCTTCTCGATTACTTGGAACAATACGATAAAAATGAACCAATAGACCTTTTGTTAAATATTTTGGTACCCATGCTAGTGTCAGATATTCCTTAGGTTGGTAATATGTCAAGAAGAGCTGTTGTGACATGGCGGCCAGTAAACTTAGAAGTTTAGTTATTACTGCTAGTTGTACGGTTTCAATTTAATATTGATTAAATAGTGTTCCCATCAATTACTTCTTTTATTAATATACAACATTCTGGCGATGAAGATAATATAGTTTGTGCGAAGTGAATTCGGAAGTTTATAAAAAATGGCGTTAATCGGCAATATACAAGCATTCGGAGGGAAAGCTGAAGAATTCGAGATATTCCTGGAACGAATGAAGCATTTTTTGCGGTGAAAACGGAAGAATCAAAAGTTTCAATGTTTCTCACGCTAGCTGGTTCTATGTATCAGACACTGAAAAATGTATCAGCATCTAAAAGCCCAGATGAGCTAGTAAATAGGATATAGGAAAGTTGTAGAGCTTCTATCAGCACATTACTCACCACCTGTATCTGAAATTTATGAACGATTTATCTTTAACAAATGCAATCAGAATATCAGAAGATAGATTAGTATGTTTCAGAATATATCGTTAAAATTCGTAGACTTGCGAGCACGGGTAACTTTAAGGAATTTTTGGATGAAGCATAACGAGTTATGTTTGTGTGTGGATTAAGATTGGAAAATATTCAACGAAAACTATTAGCAGATGAAAAATTGACATTTTAAAATACCTGTAAAGCTGCTTAAGCAGCAGAACTAACTGAAAAACAAGTTGGAAGTTTGTCTGAAAAAACTAGTGTAACTAGTGTCAGAAACACCAATTATAATAAAACTTATAATCAGCCAAAGTGGGAGGGTATAAAAGTAATATTTCGTTCAATTTTAGAAGTGGTGAAGGTGAATAAGTTTCCAACAAATGGAATCGTCAGCATGCCAAGGATAAGTGTCCAGCCAAAAGATGGAGATGTTTTTCCTGTCAGAGAATTGGTCATGTTAGAGATGTGTATCCTATGTCCAAATTAGTCAACATTGGTGAATAAAATCAGGATAATATAGTTTCTATTGTATCTAGTGCAGATCAGTTTGAAGAGGTAATTAGTCAACATTGGTGAATAAAATCAGGATAATATAGTTTCTATTGTATCTAGTGCAGATCAGTTTGAAGAGGTAAATAATGATCTGTAAGTTTTAAACCAGTTATGTAACAACGATAATTCAGCGCATCAAGTGAGGTTAATAGTTAATGAAGTACCAATACAGTTTGAAGTCTATTCAGGTGCTTGTAAGACTATAATGGCCCACAAAATGTTTGTTAATTTATTAAATGTACCTCTTAATAAAGTTTCATTCAAATTAAAATCAGTTTCAGGTCAAAATATAGTACCAATAGGAAACTCTAGTGTGTATGTAATACAAAGGATAAATTTAATTTGAATTTAACAGTCATTGAATCAGTAAAGGAATTTGGTCTTTTACTTGATAGGAACTGTTTAAATATATTATTTCTAGATTGGCAAAATAGTTTTTCTATTAAATATCTGAATTTGTCAGAAAAATCCAAGTTAATTGGGCTATTACAGGATAAATTTAAGAATGTTTTTGATAGAATTGTATTGATTTTTGATAGAATGTTTGTAGTGATAGAATTTAAGTTTAAAGTTAATGATTTAAGTTAATAATGAAGAATAATGTTGAAAAACAGTAAAAAGACAAGTAAGGAGACCCCAAGAAGTAAGAGACATGAGGAGAGAATATGTGAAGAAGTGAGTCATAAGTGAACTGGCAAAAGGATGAGAAACAGAAAGAAACTGCCATAGGATAAGATGGTGTAAGAGGGAGTATGATGAATAGAAAAACAGAAAATGAGGGGGTGGAAAAATTTAGGTATGGTATGTGTTGATGGGTGATTAACATTCCCATCATATTATATACGTATTCTTACGAGTATTCAAGAACCCTGTCAACTTCGGAGTGCTCTAAAACCCAGAGAAACTAATGAAATTAAATATATTCGTAGTAAAAATTAATAGTCGAAGACCCTCTATAATACTGCTCTGATTCTTTTACTGTTAAATAACCAGAAAAAAAGTTTTTTATAGCTCTTTTTCTATCCGAATTGTCGAATAAAGGCCTCTCCCATTTCTCGCCATTCATCCCTGTTGTATGCTAGGCGTTTCCACATTGGTCCTGCGACACTTTTGATATCGTCGCTCCAGCGCATTTGAGGTCTTCCTCTTGGTCTCTTCGCATCGTACGGTCGCCAGTTTCCGACTTCTTTGTTCCATCTACCATCTTCGAGACGTTCGTTGTGTCCAGCTCATTTTCATTTTAATTTTGCTGCTTGTTTCGCGGCGTCATTTATTTTTGTTTTGTTCCGGATTGCACTTTTGTTCCTTGGATGGTTATCGTCGGTTGATCATCTTTATTCGACATTAGCTTAGTTTTACTCAGATTCATTTTCAGTCCTTTTTTATGGATTCCATATGAAGCTCATCAATCATCGTCTTCAGTTCTTTCCAGCTGTCGGCTATTAGTACTACGTCATCTGCATATCTTAGATGGTTTAAATTCTTTCCGTTTATCGATAGTCCCTTCGTTTCCCAATTTAGTGATTTAAAGATGTCTTCAAGTGCGGCAGTAAATAGTTTTGGAGATATGGTGTCTCCCTGTCTTACTCCTCGGTTGTAAGGCTCTTATTCCTCAATAGCCCATAATTCAATGCTGTCAAAAGCTTTCCCCTAGTCTATAAATGCTAAACAGATTGGTAAATTGTATTCGTTAACTTTTTCTAGAAAAAAAGTTAGAAGACCCAAAAGAAAATCTGTTTTAAAGTTTTTAATTATTTTTGTTTATTACTTTTTTATTTTCCAGTTTATGATTGAAAGTAATAGAAATGAAGTTTTAGACAATTTAATTTGCTACAAATTATGTTTAATAGCATTTTCTGTAGGGTTGGTAATTTACAAGCTACAGCGCGTAAACCCTTTGCCTCTTTTTGTAAGATGGCGGCCAGAAGACAATGGTGGCTACCCCACAAAATTGAACTTAAAAACTTTTCAATGGACTATTAATTCAAATAATATCATATGGAGTAAATAAATATTAAAAAAAAATAAAGTTTGGCATCTAAAAGGTTATTATCAAGAGCTGTGTATTATATCGTGCAAAAACTTGCAGACTAACAGAGAAAAACAAAAAAAAAGTTCGAATATAAGCCCATCCATTGATCATAATGACAACTTTCACTTGTTGTTTAGAAATATTATGAGCTCTATCTTACCTCGTCTTTATATTCGTCAAAAGGATCCAAATTTTTTCGCAACGTTCCAGAAAATAGCACGGGCTCCTGCGGTATTATAGAAATATTTGACCTAAGTTTTTTCAAAGAGATCGTCTTCGTATCAACACCATCGATAATAATACTGCCTTCAATGTGGGTTAGTCGGAATAGGGCTTGAATTAAAGAAGATTTTCCTGCTCCAGTTCGTCCTACTATACCAACTTTTTCTTTAGGTTTGACCACAAAAGTCAGGTTTTTCAAAACAAATGGATCGTCAGGAGAATATTTCAACGACATGTTGCTGAACTCTACCTCTCCTTTTTCTGGCCAAGTTTCTCGTGGCTTATTTGAGGGTTGATCTATCTCTTGTTTTAGATCTGCGTATTCTTGTACTCTTTCTACAGACGTCATCTGATTTTCAAACTCACTCCACTGTCGCATTCCCCATTGGAACATGCCCATTAAAGCCATAGCTTGCGAGAGGGCTAGACCTATATTACCTCCAAATTGCTCTGTAAAATAACACTTAGTAAGATTTCTGGCATAGTTTTAACGAATCTATAATTAAAAGCGATTTTATCAATGGAATAAATTTATTAATGGAAAATAAAATTAAAACTAAAATGAATGGATGTTCAGCAGTGGACGTTGGAGGCTACATGATGACGATTCTGTTAGGAAGAAGTTTCTGTGATGAATTATTCTAATAATTGTAAGAAATATTTTATAACGCATAAAAAATTGTTCAAGAAACATTTCCAGGTCAAAGTTGTTTTATATGTTTGTTTTAAAAATATTACACATGGTATTTTTAAGACTAAAAAAATTACGTGCACAATTCACACACAAATTGTTTATGTCGAGGATTTACATCTGCACATTCAGTGTGACACCAATTCTTACACACTTGACAACGAATCCATTTTTCATTGGATCGTGAATGCGAAAATAGTTCGTTACAGTAGATGCAAGCTGCATCGTCCGAGTCGCCTTCTACAAAAGAGCATTTACAATCGTCTTCAGAACCTCTTGTAGTTGAAACACGAACTTGCCTTTTCACTTTTCTGGCGTCTTGTTTCCTTTTTTTTGCTTCTTTGTCTGCAATTTTTTGTTTTCTATCTTCAATTTCTGGCGTTGAATTTAAATATCCTGTTTTACCCCGTTTTCTACCCCTTTTCTGCATTACTTGAGATACTCCAGCTAAAGGAGGAGGACAAATATCTTCTACCGAGATGTTTAGAACTGACGATGATGTTGATTTCTGATCAGTGGGGCTTTTTGATAAACTTTCAATCGAAGAAACATTTTGGCTCCAATGTTCCGGTGGTGACTTCTGGTCAGAACATTCTGGCAGTGGGTTTTGTTCAGAATTTTCTCTATCTGTTGTTATAGACGGCAAAAATTGCCAATCCTCGAAGACATCTGTTGACCACAGTTGTCAAACCGGACTCGTCCATATTATAAATGTTTTCCGGTGGAAAGTGAAACTCGTCTAATATATTTGCTAATGCAGTAAAATAGGCACATATATTTGGTTTATTAAAAGCTTGAGCCCTTGCCAACGAAGTATTTTCTGGAGTGCGTAATGATATTCGAGGATTTTGCTTTAAAAAGCCTCTGACCCATTTCCAGCCTGCCATCCTGGTTTCCTTATTAAAATTGTGGCTAATATTGTTTCTTTCAGCTACTTCGTATACAAGTTTTCGCAAATCTTTACTAGTCAGGCCAAAAAAACGAGTTTCCATTGTAATAATATGGTCAGCAACTTTCTGTTCAATAGTAGTGGAGAATATTGGTCTTCGTCCTCCCAAATCACCTTTGATGCTTAATAAAGCGCCTTTTCACAGTCGTTTTTGGAACTTTAAATGTTTTTGCTGCCAGCTTAAACCCCATAGTTTTTTTTTGTATGCTTTTTAAAGCTTGTTGCATATTACTCTCGTTCCACTGTTGCCTTTTTTGTAGAGCCATCCCTGTAAAACATATTATGTTAATCATTAAGTAACAAAAACTGAAGGTGTGTCCAGTTTTATTTTCTTTTTCCTATGATGGACCCCTAGTCTGTCATAGGTAACGACACAGGGGTCCATCATAGGCAAATAGACAAGGCAGCAAATTTAATTCTGTTACGTTTAAGAAACCGCAATAAAGAAATAAAACGAAGATGTAAGGCCGACAAAAAACAGTACTATCAAAGTATATGCAAAGAAATTGAGAGACATGGTCAGAAAAATCAGCCGAGAGATCTATTTAGAAAAATACGCTACCTGACAAGAGACTTCAAAGCCAGAACTTGGGCCATTGAAGATAACACTGGAACCCTGAGAACAAACAGAGAAGAGACATAGAGAGACATAGCAGAGACATGGAGATCGTATTGCAGGGACCTATATAAAGATGATCAACACCAAGAGCTTGTTAGCCAAATCTCTGACGAGGTGGAAGAAGAACCTGATATACACGAAAATGAAGTAAGACAGGCTATCAACAAAACAAGCTCAAATATAAAAAAGCACCAGGTCCAGATATGATAACAGCAGAAATGCTTAAAGCCACAGAAGAAACCGGCGTAAAGTTCCTTCATCTACTCTGTAACCAAATATGGCATTCCAAACAATGGCCTGAAGACTGGACAAAATCTACAATAACGACCATACATAAAAAGGCAGCTTCCATAAATGCGACAATTATAGAACTATCTCTCTTATATCCCATGCCAGCAAGATAATGCTACATATAATCAATGAGAGACTGAAAACATTCCTTCAAAGAGAAATTCCACAAGAGCAAACTGGATTTACCAAAGGTAGAGGCACTCGAGAACACCTGCTGAATATAAGACAGATAATCGAGAAATCTAGGGAATTCGACATCCCACTATACATCTGCTTTATAGATTACCGTAAAGCGTTCGACAGGGTCAAGTGGAGACACTTGATGGAGAATACTAAAAGAAGTAGGCGTACCACAACATCTAATTACGCTTATAACCGAACTATATGAACACACTACTGGATCAGTTAAAGTACTTGACACATTTTCGAACGAATTTCATCCAGAACGGGATGTCAAACAAGGATGTATACTATCTCCACAATTATTCAACATATATGGGGAGTATATTATGCGAAGAGCACTTGAAGGATGGGAAAAGGGCATCTCAATAAATGGTCATAAACTAAACAACCTACGTTTCGCAGATGACACAGCCCTTCTTGCAAATAGTCAAGCAGAGCTGATAGAACTTATACGACTGATCGAAAACGAAAGTCAAATATTTGGTCTGCAATTAAACGTATCAAAGACAAAGATCGTGATAGTCGATAGACTACACAACAATCAGCCACACATAACCACAATTAACCGGTTTGAGGTTGTGAGCTCATAGTTATATCTGGGATCATTAATCACAAACACAGGGTCATTACAAGAAGAGATTAAACGTAGATGTGATCTAGCAAAAGTTGCCACAGCAAAAATGACCAAAATATGGAAGGACTGTCAAATTTCAAGAGCGATAAAGATGAGGTTGATCAACTGCTTAATATTCCCAATACTGACCTACGGATGTGAATCTTGGACTCTGAGACAATCGGAGAGAAGAAAGATAGACGCCACTGAAATGTTCTGTTGGAGACGAATGTTACGAATTCCTTGGACCGACCGCAGAACAAATAATTCAATTTTAAGAGAGCTAAAAGTTAGCCAACGACTCTCTAGTAAAGTCCATCTCCAACAATTAAAATATTTTGGGCATGTTATGAGAGCAAACACAGAAAACATGGAAAGACTCATAATACAAGGAAAGGTAGAAGGCCGAAGATCACGAGGAAGATCCCCAACAAGATGGATAGATCAAATTACAGGAATATGCCAAGACCTATGCATGAATTAAAAGAAATGACCAGAGACAGAGATCTCTGGAGACGGACAATACACGACATCACGTCGACCACTACACTCCTCCTGGGGGGTCAGGATTGAAGAGAGAGAAAGGAAAGACACCAATAATGTACTAGTCATTAGAAGCATTGTCATGATAGCACAACCTGATTGATAAAACAAAAGCTGAAAATGGTAGTCTAAAAAAAATTAGTTGCCCAGGCACAATAATTTTTTACCACTCATATATGGATCACGCTGACGAAATGATTACTCTCTGACTCAGACAAAAGAAATATCAAATGTTGACAAAAAAGTTTTTTTCGACTGCTACTGATAGCAGTCGTCAATAACTTCATCATCTACATTAAATCTTCAAATATAAAAATGGCATTCGATGATTTTTATATTGAGTTGACAGAATCGCTAATTAGTGGAGGTAGATCAGAATCATCGTACAAAAGAATAAGGGAACAACGCCCCATTTCAAAGATAGTAAAGTATTCCACTATTATTGGTGATCATCTTCGAACTGAAAGAGGTGGGAGGAAGAAAATGTGTTCGCTGTAAAAATCTTAAAATCAAAAAACGATTAAAATTTATTTATCGTCAGTGTCAAGTACCACTTTGTATTGAACGTTTTACTCCCTGTCATACCTATAATATTTTACAGGACTTTTTTTCTCTAAAACTAGTTTATGCAAAAATTTTAAATTCAAGTTTTATGTTTTCTAACTCCATATGACCAGATCTATGTATTTAAAATTGAAGATATAATAAAATTTAAAAGACTTGTTGAAAGAGGTAGGTACTTACCACTTTTAATCAACAATAAAGCTGCCAATACCAAACCAATATAAACCACACAAACAAAATCAAGCCAAAATCCAAACGTTCTGTTAGCACCCGCGAAGATAAAATAAGCTGAAGTATTCAAATTTTGATAATTGTCAAATTCCTTTTTGAGTATATCTTGGGCTTTAAAAGCTCTAATTGTTGTCAGTCCTTGTAACGATGCAGAAAGATGTGTGAAAATTGGGCTTCTGGCTAAAATTTAGAAATATGTATGTCAGTTCTTAAAATAAAACACATGGTACTATTATATTTATATATTATGTTTATATATTTATACATTAGCCCTTATGCAAAAAGTAAATATTAAATATGTAGTATATACATAATCCATTAGCTACGAAGTTATACTCGCTTTAGCTATGATCAATACATGGATCTTCACCAACACTAAATCTGATATTTGGAATGTCTGATCTCATCGTTTACTATTGGCATATTCTTAATATTTTGTGGGCTCTCATGAGTTTCTGTGTCTTGACTTAAGGGATCAAGTAAACGTTATTAAGGCGTAATTTGGGGTACTATCCGTTGCAAGATAATTCAGATGGAATTCCCCAGATTAAGAGATAATGAAGATCCATAGTACGATGGACGGATCAAATAAAGTACATTCTCCGAAGCAAAACAACACGCGCAGGAGGGAGATAATTGGACAGAAGTAGTCAAACAAATTACATGACGCAACTACATCCTTACGAAGGAGAAAAGTTAGAGGAGGAGGAACTAGTTATCTGCACAAATAAGTGGATGTTTATAGCAGCTACTCTTCTCTATAAAAGTAGTAATAATCTGTATAAAATATATGAATAACACAACTATTACATTAACTCTAAGAAGTTACATGCTAAAATATTTTAAATTAGTTATTTTAAACTACTTACTGACAGCTTCTATTCGCTTAACATCTCTACTGGTTTGGACGAAAACTATTCTCATCAGGTAGAATAATACTGCAAGCAGTACAGTTGGTATAACAATCCATATGGTTAGACTTCCAATTACCAAACAGATCGAGAAAACATATAAACCAATCTAAAATGAATATTACCGTATATTATTAATCCAATAAAATAAAAAATTATAAATCAAATGAAATCATGAGGTAAAATTATACTACATATTATTTATATGTGATTGATCATGCTACCCCATATAGGTGAGAGTTACCTATTCCCAAGTAGGGACATTAGCAATTCTAGAAAATCTGTAACAAGTGGCAACACCTGCACTGGAAGAATGAAAGCTCGCCATTCAGTCGTATTGTCACGTAAACGACACAAGGCTAGCATACCGGTAGCGTTCGCCAGAACAAGTTGTTAATGTTAACATATTTTTTTAAATTTATTTACGTACAACATTATAGTGAATATAGCGTTAATGGTAAGTATCTGTGAAACTTAACGTTATTAGTCAATAACAGAGTTTATAGTCATTGCATTTCACTGTAAAGTATTTGCCACTAAAGCTTTTGTTTAATATCGGTTAAGATTTGTACAAAATGGATGCAAATCTCTTAAGATGGGACAAAGTTAAACTTTGTCCCATCTTAAGTTCGGGAGAACGTCCCATCTTAGGAACTAAAATATGGCTACAGATATTTTTCTTATACCTGCCTACTTTTAACTAATGTAATCATTAATTACTTATAAATTCTTACATATAACGATAATTCATTCTAAAAACATTTATAAGTAGGGGTTCAGTAATTAGATTATACCCAAGGAGGTCATAATATGCTAACCTTGATTATAGCTAAGTAAAGATAATGTGTCATTAAAAAATGTTTTATTCAGTGAACTCTATGTCTCGTAAGTGGCACTGATATATTTTTCTTTTACAGGTGCCAAATAGAAATCCAAATTCCTACTATAAAAGAAAAACTGATCGTGGAAACTGGTCCGTTCAAAATATGATTCTAGCTATACAAAAAGTTCGGAATAACGAACTATCGCTTCGAGAAGCTGCTGACAGATATAATATTCCTAAAAGTAGTCTTCAAAGACGAGTTACAAATAAAAATAAAATCGTCACCGAAAATGACAAATATCTTGGGCGGTTTAGGCAAATATTCTCAGTTGAACAGGAACACGAAATTTTAGATCATATTCTTGAAATGGAAAAGCCATTTTTTGGAATCACTTATAAAGAACTTCGTTGTCTGGCATTTGACTTTGCCCAAGCCAATAATATTGCTAACAATTTTAATAAAGATACTCGAATGGCCTCTAAAAAGTGCGTTTATGGGTTTTTGAGTCAACATAGAAATATTTCTCTGAGAAAACCAGAAGCAACCTCATACGCTAGAGCTACAGGATTCAACAAGAATGCATTCCAAAGTTTTTTCAACAACCTGGAAAGTATTTATAATAAACATCACCTCAATCCAGATAGGATCTGGAATATTGATGAGACCGGAGTGACCACCGTCCAAAAATTATTTAAAGTTCTTGCTCAGAGGGGTAAAAAGCAAGTGGGAGGTTTAACAAGTGCCGAAAGAGGAGTTAATGTCACTATAATAGCTACTATGAGTGCAAGTGGCAATTTTCTTGCGCCTGCTTTTATATTTCCCAGAAAGAAAATAAAACCAGAGCTGATGGACAATGCACCTAACGGTAGTCCGGCATTTCCACAGGACAAAGGATGGATCGATCGTGATGTTTTTTTTTTAATTCATAAAATATTTTGCACAACAAACCAGACCTTCGAAGGAGTGCAAAATTCTTATTATTTTGGACGACCATTGTTCACATACAAAAAGTTTAGACGTTATAAACTTCTGTCGCGAGAATGGTAGTATTTTATTATGCCTGCCACCAGACTGTACGCACAAAATGCAACCCCTAGATGTTTCGTATTTTAAATCATTTATGAGTTATTATGATTTGTACCTTACTAGATGGCTAAAAAATCATTGTGGTCGCACATTTGGAATATATCAAATCTCAGGGGCTGTTGCAGAAGCATTCTCAAAGACATCTTCTGTACAGATAGCGACAAATGGATTCCGAGTAACCGGAATTTGACCTTTTAACGAAGACGTATTTCAAGACTGCGAATCCGCTCCCTCTAAAACGACGGAACAATCAGTAGACAATGAAACTACATCACAGGTCAATAAATTACCGGTAATGATGGCTCATACCGAAGGCGTAAATCAAGTTGAAATGTATGATAATCCGATTCCTTCAACCTCAAAACAGTCTGTTTTAAGGTCACCTAAAGATGGCGATTCCGAAGATAACAGACCGATACAGAGAAGCCAAATCATTCCTATCCAATTTCCGACATCCAAGGTAAAAGTGACTGATATTAGTCCGCTACCAAAGGCATAGAAAAAGAAAGGTAAGACTTCTTCTAGACATTCTCTGAAATCCACGATACCCACAGAATCGCCGTATAAAAATGAATTAGAGACGTTGCAATCCACAATCCCTACTAACAAGGTTAAATCTGTGAAACGAACTGTAGTTATGGACCACAGCGCTCGAAATGCAAATATTAGCAACATTACAGTCGTCACTTCAACTAAAGATGATTCAAACTGCGTTGTATGTGGAAAGAAGTACACAGAGAGTAGTGAAGACTGGTACAACTGCAAAATGTGCTCAAATTGGTCTCATGAGTCTTGTGGAGTAATGGATGATCTCTATTTTATTTGTGGAGGTTGTATAGAGTAATGTCCCTTTTTGAGAAACCCAACGGACCATCTTAGGATTCCGGTTTCTCATGATGGGACATTCACACTTTTTTTTAATAACAAAAAACGAAGCATATCTTTTATTTTTTATTTAGTTTATATCTAAAATGTGTTAAGAATTAGAATAAAGTTTCATTTTATTACCTCAACTTTTTTTTTTAATATCTATCGATTTTCAAGTATTTGTTATAAAAAAAAAACTGTCCCAACTTGGGTGACTCTCCCCTGCCTAATTAACAAACAGTGAAATAAACAATGGAGTAAATTTTAAATAGCCGAAAATTAATAAATCACAACTACCATAACCGTAATAAATAACTCAGAGTAAATTACCTGTACAGTATCCATAAGAGTCATTGGCAAATTTTCATCCATAACACCAATATCTTTCGAGAACCTGTTTAATATTCTTCCAGAAGGATTTATGTTGAAAAACCTCATAGGACTGTAAATAATATTCTGAAACATTTGGTTATGCAATGCAGTCGACGATGTTAAGGCTAAATGATAAAAATAAAGTGATCGTCCCAAGATCATAATGATCAAAGTTATTACTACGAGTAAATAATAGATGGCAGTATATTCACTGGTAAACAAGGGGGTTAACCACCAACCTTCATAAGGGTTTTCAGATTGAACGGTGGTTTTCATTGATTCCGGCAAAATTGAGTTGGACGTTACATTTAAATCTGCTGTTATATTTGGAATAGATTGAACTGTTTCAGTCTGATTTTTGGAATTCACTTGCTGAATATTGACCCTAAAATAAAAATGTACATAATTTACACAATAATTTCAATTATATAAGTACTATAAATTAGTGTAAGTTCTAGTAATAATCTGTTAGGTGAAAATTGTGCGAACTCTAAAGATATCATTTTAATAAGCAGAATTTTAATAAGAGTAAAGCAGGAAACATTGATAATTAAAAGATAGTAAAAAAATAGAAAGAAAGTGACCTATAATACCAAAACCAGATAAATCACATTACTTTTTTTTAATTAATCTATTCAGACACGATAATGTATTTAACTACTTGAAATTGTTAATGATGTATTATAACAAAATAGTACTTCGCTTAGAGGTAAATTAAAAATATATTGTAAACATCAGTATCACAAGAATAAGCAGATTGACATCGTTACGTTTCCTGACCCTGATGGCCGCCTTAATGTTTGACGATGCTTCGGATCGAGAACAATAGGAGCGGCTATCGAGAGCTCTCCGTGCCGTAATAGTTACGACGAAGACCGAATGAGGTCGCTGGCACTCATTGTCATTGACATTGGCGCGAAGAAAAATCATAACATAACCATTTAAATCATAAATGATTGTAATCAGGGAACTGCGATTTTCTTTTTTTTTTTAATATGGCTGTTATGTGTAAAATTTGTAAAAAAATTCTCTCCAGTCAATCAGGCTTGAATAGACATAATAAAAAAGTTCACAACCAGAAAAAGACTGAAATAATAAGTTATGAGTTAAATGTGTTTAATTCGAAGTGTTATGAATGTGCAATTTCTTTTAAATTTATTAAGGATTTACGCACACACCTACAGGACAAACACAACGTAGCAATAGAAATGATAGAGATTACCTTTAATGATTCTAAAGGTAAGTATTTGTAAAACAAATTGTGTTATTCAAATAATAAAATATATTTTTAGTTTGACAATTGGTTGGAGGATATAAATAAAAAAGAAAAAACAGAATATGTTTTGACAAGAGGATGCAAATTGAGGAAAACTGATGATGACACTGTTAAAATATCTTATTACCACTGTAATAGAAGCTATAAGAAATGTAATGCATAAAACAATTTGAATAATAAATGTTTTACTAAATACTTTCAATATTACAGTTAACATTATGCAGGATGAGGTCAGAAAAAGGTTGCCAAAGATGCCAGGGTCAGAAAAACTATTGTTTTCTTGCACAAGTCAAATTATATCAAGCCAACTAAATAATGGAAAATGTATGGTTACATATTACAAAAGTCACTACTGCCATGACAATGAAATTCGACATTTGCATTTATCAAAAACAGATAAAAACCAAGTTGCAAACAAATTATTAGCAGGAGTATCTGTTTCTAAGTAAGTTACTAGCACTTATATTCACCTGACGGTCTACTGACCATAGGTGTAAAATAGCACATATTTTACATCAGATATAATTTAAAATATTTTACAGGATACTGGATCAAAATAGAGATCACATTGTTGAAACTGATGTGCAAAGAATTCACCTATTAACAAAAAAAGATATATACAATATCAAAAAATCTTATGGTATAAGCATATCAGATGATGGTAGAAGAAATGGAAGTGATGCTATCAGTGTGGACATGTGGGTGCAAGAACAAAAAAGTTTTGAGGAAAATTCTGTCATATTTTATAAAAAGCAGGGTATTGAACATGAAAATCTTGAGCAAAATGATTTCTGTTTAATAATTATGAATAAATCACAGACATATATGTTAGAGAAGTTTTATGAAAACATAATTGCCATAGATTCAACACATGGTTTAAATGGTTATAACTTTGAACTTACAACATTAATGGTTGTGGACGAATTTGGCGAGAGGTTTCCATGTGCATGTATGTTCACAAACCGACAGGACACATTTATACATAAGCTTTTTTTGAAAAACTTAGGGATGCTTTAGGACATATAATTACTCCTAAAACTTTTATGTCTGATATTACGGGGGTATTCTACAACGCTTGGCAGCAAGTAATGGGCAAAACTTGTTATCAATTATATTGTGCATGGCACATTGACCGTGCCTGGCAACAAAATTTATCAAAAATATCCAGCAGTGACAAAAAAAGTGGGTGTATAAAACTTTGAAATATTTGCAATATATTCCAGAGACAGACGAATTTCAAAGCAGTTTAATTAACACTTTGAATTTATTTTATGAAGATCCAGATACTGTAGAGTTTGCAAAATATTTTAAGAACAATTATAGTACTAAATCCAAACTTTGGGCAGTCTGCTATAGGCGAGAATGTGGAATCAATACCAATATGTACCTAGAGTCTATGCACAAGACAATAAAATACTTTTATTTGCAAGGTACAACTGTAAAACGATTAGATAAAGGCTTACATGCGGTTTTAAAATATATTCGAGATAAAGTTGTTGATAGAATAATAAAACAAACTAAAGGTAAGCACACTAAACGCATTTCTGCAATTGTTTCAAATCATCGTCAAGCAATAATATCATCTTTTGAAGTAAATCAAAATGAAAATGAAACGCTTTTATTAACATTTGGCGGTGATAATAATACTTAAACTGTTACAAAAGTAAACGACATTCCTGGTTGTGAATTACAGTGCAAATACTGCAGTATATGTGTGCACGTTTACCAATGTTCGTGTGTAGATTACTTTTTAAATAACACAATACGTAAACATATACACTACGTAGGATTACATAATAATAAACCACCGACAGTAAACAAACATGAAAATGAAAGTAATGAAGAAATTAAAATACACTTAAACACAATGCAAAACATAAACAATGAAAATTGTAATATTGAAGTTGAAGCTATGCAGAAAAAAGTTTTTACTTTGGTAACAAATATATCTGAACAAGTAAGAGAATCTTCAAATGTAAAGGCTTTACAAGAATGTTGCAGCTATTTAAAAAAGGCTTCTTTAATATTAAATGTTGAAGCTAGTAATGTGTCGCTACCGCTTCCCAATACTGTTAGATCTGAACCTACAAACAAGAAAATTGAGAAGCAGTTGCAGTTTTTCTCTACAAAGAAGAAACAAAAACTTAAAAAAACTTTTGTAAAAAAGCCAAATATGGATGAAAAACAGTTAATTTCTGATGTGTTAAATACACGTCCGTATATTAGCTCAAATGTGGATAACGATCACAAATATTGTAAAAGTACTAATAAATAATTTTTACAACAAAATTCTTGTTTGAAAAGTCCATAAAATGAAATAAAATTCAAGATTTTCAAAACCTGCTTCATTTTATAGTCAACTTTTCTGGAACTCCCTATGAATTTGTCTCTGTTAAAAACAACTATGAATTTTTTCCTTGTCTTAAAACAGGTAAAAGTTAATGAAGAATAACTTTCGTTAAAAATAAAAATAATTAAGTTTCTTAGCACAGTCTCTGTGGACACATTTATATAATAACATAATAATTTTTATAATATACTAATCCCGATGGCTTATAACTTAATATTTTTGTTTTTGAAACAGCGTTCATTTGCAATAAGCATTTGAGTTACGCGCGGATTTAAGTCAAGATACCAACCTGTAGGCAATCTCACAACCAGCACGGAGAGCTCTCGATAGCCGCTCCTAGAACAATGAGCAAGGCTCTTTGAAAAGCTGATATCCAAGAATTCGTTGACTTATTTGTAAGCAATTCAAAAGATACATAAACGGTTGGGAAAAATATGTGTGTAGATGAAATGCTGGTAGGCTTCAGAGGCAGATGTCGCTTTAAAATCCTATATATGACTAATGCACGAACTGGGTATTTGCATAATGCTTACATTTATTCTGAGAAAGGTTCAGATGGATTTAGCCTCACAAATGAAGAAAGAAGAATGAGCATACCTACTCAAGCAGTTATAAGATTAGTCAAACATCTTTACAATACTAATAGAAATGTAACTGACGGCAACTGGTTTAGTTCAGTTGATTTAGTACATCATCTACAACAACATAAACTCACTTACGTTGGCACAATACGAAGAAATAAAAAAGAAATTTCTCTACAGTTCCTTCCGCGACCAAATCGTAATGAAGGCGACACTTTGTATGGATTTACCAAAGACCTAACACTTTTATCCCGTACAACTAAAAAAAATAAAGCTGTGATATTAATTTCTTCCGTTCATCATTTCATTCCAAAAGTAGATGCAGATAATGGACTTTTTCTTCTTCTTCTTCAGCCTTCATTTATTCATTGTTGGACATAGGCGTCCTCCAATTGCTTCCACGCTTCCCTATCTTTTGCAATTCTTATCCACTGCTTTCCAGCTACAGCAGTTATATCGTCTATCCAGCTCTTTTTGGGTCTTCCCACGCTTCTTTTTGTTTCTCGAGGTCTCCAGAATGTCACTTTATGAGACCATCTGTTGGTGTCTTGTCTTGCTACATGTGCTACCCATTGCCATCTCAATGTCGCTATTTTTCCCATGATGTCGGTTACTTTAGTTCTTCGACATATTTCGGTGTTAGGAATTTTGTCTCTGAGGCTTATATTTAACATGGCCCTCTCCATGGCCCGTTGAGTTACTCTTAATTGTTCTGCCATTTTTCTTGTTATTGCCATATTTTTCAACCCATAAGTTGCAACTGGTAGTATACAAGTGTCATAGGTTTTTCTTTTTAAGTGAAAGTAGTAGGTAGTCCAGTATTATCTTAAAACGATAATGGACTACCAGAAATAAATTCTTTTTACAACTTGACCAAGGGGGATGTAGACGCGATGGATGAAAAGTGTGTAAAATATTCCTGTAGCCGCAGAACACGTAGATGGCCCATGATTATTTTGTAATAAAATAGTAGAAGTATGTGAAGTAAATTCATACATTATGTTTACTTCGATTCCCGAAAATATTTGGACTAGATTCAAATTTATAGAAACCCTGGCCGATGAACTTGTTTTCTCATATTTGCATAGAAGATATGAAATGCCAACATTACAAAGCCAGCGGAAAGAACTGATCGGAAGTATCCTTGATATTCCCGAAAATAATCCTAACGAAGAATAAACGCTTAAAATAAGAAAATATTGCTATATCTGTCCATTCAAATTAAGAAGAAAGACTGCATATTTATGCAAAACGTGTCAAAAACCCATATGTTCTCGAAAAATTTGTATAGAGTAGAATAGATTTTTAACGTTTTTTCTGATTTGCAGGTTTTGTGCAGAATTGCAGTTATGTTACTTTTAACATTTTTTTTATATAAAATGTACCTATTTTTAAACATACATTATATTATATTTGTTTGTTATGTTTTTTTGGAAAAGGACTTAAAAAATTTTGTGTTATAAAACATGTTACCATTTTTTCTGTGTTTGTTAAAGTCCTACAATTTAAGTTTTTTCTTTTTTACCAAAAAAATGGCATTACAATCTTGTTTTATTATTAAAAACTGTTTTATTGTATTTTTTAGGTACCAGCTTGACAAAAACAGCTTTTTAGCCAGGAGTCTGTCAGACTTATGGTCACCATTTATGTACCGTAAAAAGGGGTTACATTGAACATTTTCTTCGTATTTTGTTGAATAAGTTTTGTATCTGTTGCTCAATCGAATAAAAAAAAATACCACTTATGGGTCACTATAGAAGCATGACTTTACATACGTTATATTATCTCTTGGGCGTAGCTATGTAAAAAAAGCTATAAAAAAGTTGCTGTTCAATTTAGTTATTCGTTCAATTTAAAAAACTAGTGGGGAGAGTTTTGTTTGTTTTTTCTTTTCTCAATGGTTATATTTATTGACAAAATATTTTTTACATTCTTTTTTATTAAACTTTAAATTCTTTTACACAGTCTTATAAAATCATATTTCAAACTAAAGAAATTGGTAATTTTCAAGTCAAATGACAAAACATAAGGGAAACGTATAAACGACAGTCTTTAGAAGGATTTTAGCCCAGAGTATACCCATCAAATTGGATCGACAAAACCACTTTTCCGCGGCGGTCTTCAGCTGGAGCTGGCAGAAGTCTCTCAAAATCTGAAGAACTTACGACTGAAAAGTCGTCTATCTGAAAATAAATCAACAATCGATTTTGGTATAATGCAAAATGCACTGAAAAATTTACCTCTAGCCCATAGAAGGCAGAATTCTTCGCAATTTTCAGGAACTTGACCACATAATCACCATCAGGCAGTTTTTCTTTTATAAGACCAACGAAAAATTTCAAGATCTTTTTGGTTGCGAATATCACGAGCACATAATCGTCGACGACTGCAGCCTCTGTTGGCCTTTCGATCTCCTTGTTCTTTTCTTGGTGCATTTCATCACAAAATGTCTCGAAATCACAATCAGATTCGTCCTGAAGCTCTAGTTCGTAGTCGCAACTGTCACTATCCAATTCCTTAGCAGACTTTTTCTTATTCTTCGTGTGTGGTGCAGAACATCCAGAACGTTCTCCTATTTCAAAATCTTCCAATCCAATGCTTTTACCCGGTGCGATGTTAATTATATTTTTTCTTTGAGTTCTAGCTCTCTTTTTGTTCCTAATACCCTGTAGAAATTGTAAAACTGTGTCGTTTAAACTGTTTCCAAAACTTTCATTTGATTCAGTATCATCAGTACCAGGCAATTTCTTTAATATTTGATTTCTGTGTAAAGGGTATATACCCGTTGCCCGAAAGCCCCTTTGAAGGTTTTGTTCACCAGTTTCTGCGAATTTTAACATCAGCTTTTTTTAAAGTTTTAGAAACATCTCCTTTGGAAGACCAGTTGATCCCGTTGCTAACTTATAATCGCTGAGTATTGCACGCCATTGTTTCTTCAGTGGTGCGAACACCGTAACATTCAGGGGTTGAGCGATATGCGTAGTATTCGGCGGTAAACATATGAATCGAATATTATTTTCAACCGACAGTCTGATAATTTGCTCAGAAAAATGGCTCGCCAAGTTATCCCCGATTAATACTTTGACTCCTTCTTCATGTCTCGTGAAATAAAGGGAAACAGAAGTAAACCAATTTAAAAATGTTGCAGAATCGAACCATCCATGAGCTGTTCGGTTGTATCTGGTTTTATCGGGTCCTCCTTCCGTCCAAGTTGTCCAAAGGTTTTCTGCTTTGTAGACTACATACAGAGACAGCAGAACTCCTGAAGCGCTTCCACAAAACATCAAAGAAATGTTTGATTTTGCTTGAGATAATAAACGTTCTGGGTATTTCACCCCTCTTTTAAAAAAGCATCTTGCAGACCCAGGATCATCCGATAAATTTGTCTCATCGAAATTGTATATACAATCGGGGGAAACTCCGTCTAGACATTGCTCAAGGTTATCAAAATAAGCAATGAAAACTTCTCTAGTGGAAGATGCTCTATTTGGGTTTATATTTTGAGATTTTCTTACACTTATTTCTCTGTTTCTTTTTAGAAAACCTTTAATCCAGTCGATACCAGGCAAATTATTTTTAAACTGCTAAACTCTCTTACCCATTGTATCCAAATGGCTTTTCATAACATGTCGTAAATCGTCGTGAGTCAAAGGAAAGCCCCATTCAGCGGTTTTTCAAAAGTATCTTGACCAGTGCCTTTTCTTCGTCGTTGTTTAAAACTGTGGGCCTTCCGACGTCCTTCATTTTTTTGTTGTTCAGTTTGTGACTTAATGTTCCTTTTGGGATTTTGTATTTCTTCGACGCCTTGGAAAGTGATAGCTGTTTTGTTTTAATTTCGCGGATTGCTTGATCCAAAGTATCAGAGGTGTAATTTTTGTATGATCGACTACCCAACTTTCTAACGTAATCACGCATTTTGGACTGAGATTATCGCACTACACTACCTATTGCACCACAACTGAATTTCCTAACCACACAATGTTCCTACCGCCAAGCCAACCAATGTTATACTGAGCTCTGAGCTGAGTGAATTTCATTCAAATGATTCAAAACGAGGTAGCGTAACGCCAGACAATAATATTTAGATGGAACTCGATTGACGCCGCCCAAGCACGTTCAATGTTACCCCACGTTCCCAAAATAATTGACATATTTTTTGTATAAATTAATTAAAAATATTCAAAACCCTAATCATTTACGGTATTATGCAGAATAAGGTTCAAATAGGTACTAGTATCGTGTAAAATTAGTCATGAGAAGATATCTTTTGCATATCGCCGGCTGCAGACCAAAGTTTGAGAGATTTTTTTTTACTACCTTTTATTTCAGAAACCATTTTTTATTTCATTTTTGTTAATTTTGAGAACCTGCCAGAAATTTTATCAGGAAGTCCAAGAAAAACATATTTGCAACCCTCAAAAAAAATATATCGGCCCCAAAAAAAAAGTTTAGGCCAACTTGTAGAAAAATATAATCTTCATTGCAAAACTGTTCAATGTAACCCTCGGGTTCAATGTAACCCCGTTTTACGGTAATTAAAAATAGGGTCACCAGTTAAACGTTAAAAAAACTAAATATTAGGACTTAATTATAAATTAAAAAAACTTACCAATAAGTAATGTAGTACTCTGAGAAACTTTCCATAAACTGACTAGTAATAAAAATCACACTTAGCAGAAATATATGGAAAAGATGCCCAGAAGCTTTAATAAAGTTCATATATACACGACCAGAAATTTTGCCTGTACTTTGTGCCTCCTTTTCCAATATTTGAATTTCGTTATCTTCGAACATATCTTCCTCCTTGGAAAGCGTTCTTGTTCTCGACAATTTCCTAGTTTCTTCCTCGTCTTTTATATCAGTAAGAAGTTTGCTGTATTCTGTATTGGAATTTTTTAGATCTGCATATGTACCAGACAATTTAACCTTTCCATCTCTCATTAAGTATATGTGTTTTAGCTTTTTTAAGTACTGTAACTGATGAGTTACTATAACTACACATTTGCTACTAAGGTACCCGGTAACACAGTCTTCGAATAGTTGTTTTCCAACATGAGCGTCAACCGCAGATAGGGGATCATCTAGTAGATATATATCAGCGTCTTTATACACAGCTCTAGCCAAATTAATCCTAGCTCTTTGTCCCCCACTAAGTGATACCCCTCTTTCGCCAGCTAAAGTCCTGTCACCATGAGGAAATAGAGTAAAATCTCTTTGTAACGCACATACTTTAACTACTTCGTCGTATTTATTTTGATCGAACTTTTGTCCAAAAATGATATTTTGTCTAATACTACCCCCAAATAACCAGGGTTCTTGTGATGCATAAGAAACAACCCCGTCAACGTCCACAGATCCTGACTGTAATTCAAGTTCCTTTAAAATAATATGTAATAAAGTAGTTTTACCACTACCTACAGGACCCACAATAGCTACAACATTTCCGGGAGTTACTTCCATGTTGATTTTCTCTAAATTATTTTCAGGAGAAGATTTCAACCATTTAGCTGAAGCGTTTTTAAGGTGTATACCTGGTTCTTTGTTTCTAATGGTAAGTTCTAACGGTGCTTTAATTCCGTTCTCTTTGTGTGATTTTTCATCTAAAGCTATATAGTTCCCGTCTTCAACTTCGTCGTATAATAAAAATGTTTGTATTCTCCCTGAAGAGACATACAATTCCGCAGCTTGTGAAATAGCCGTCGGTAAGAAATTGGTAACTGTATACAAAAGTCTATAGTATGATGTTACGGTATATGCATAGCTAGCAGTTAACGCATTTCCAGTAAATACATATACAAGAATGCTGGCTGCTATAGCACTTCTGTGAAGCATTATAATGCATGACATTAGCACCGATCTGATAACTGAGGTATATCGAATGTACTTCATCTCCTTCCTAAAACAAAAAAGCAAAATGTTAAATAGCTTATAAAAAATTTGTTGTGTACTCAAAATAGGTTTTAATTATCCCAACTTAACCCAAGTATGACCAACAAACGAACCAGCGATGAACTTTTCAATATCAACTACATTCATATCCAATAATTGGTAAAGGATCTAGGGATAAGGGCAGCTACAAAATCTAACAACAGAAGAATACAATATTGAGGAAGTAAAAGACTTTACATACTTAGGTTCCAGAATTACGTCTGATAACAACGTTGCAGGCGAAGTAAAGAGGAGGAATATTCATCTGTTTTGATGTCTTCTTCAAAGCTTCCGAGGTCTCAGTCTCCCGAGCCCCCAGACTCTACTACACTGATCACTAACCAATGCATTACTGCTGTAATGCTTTGGTTAGTGATCAAACTCCTGCTGCCTCAAAGTTCTATTTCTTTCTTCTCCAATACCAATATCCAATTAGTGGATGTTGGCGACAATTCTGGAATACTCCTCTCGATCTTGTGTGGCTCTAAAAAGCGCATGGGCATTTGTCCAATCCCTTATGTTTTTAAGTCATGAGTATTTCTTTCTTCCGATGCGATGCCTCGTTTTCCTTCTATCTTCCCTTGCATAATAAGCTTTAAGAACTGGTACTTGGAATTTCGAAATATATGACCCAGATAAGCAGTTTTTCTTGTTTTTATTATTGGCAGCAATTCTCGTTCTCTACCCATTCGATTTAATACTTCAACATTTGTTGTGTGATCTGTCCAGGGAATTTTAAGCAGTCTTCTAAATACCCAAGTTTCTAGTAGAGAAATAAGAAAATACCAAATATACAAAACTTTAATAAGACCGGTACTCACAAATGGTTCAGAAACCTAGGCACTCAACTAGACAAAATATACCACGATACGGATATCATAATCCTAAGTGCCTTCTCTGTTGAGGTTGGCGATCAATATGGTAAATTTCTCTCTGTTCTGGGCTTGTTAAATTAATTCATTTCCTCTTGTATGGGTCCAATGTTTCGTAGCCAAGATTTTTTCTTTCGTCCTATGCCCCTTTTACCTTCAGTCTTCTAATATTACCTGGAGCTGCTCAAATTTCCTATGGCGCATTATGTGTCTTAGATATGACGTCTTTCTAATCTTGATAGTATTGACCAGAAGAAGGCGTGTGTTCATTACTCTCAATACTTCTTCATTTGTAGTTCTGCTGGTCCAGCTCATTCTTAACATTCGGCGGTACATCCAAATTTCAAATGAATTTAATTTGTTGACGTCATACTGTTTTAATGTCCAGATCTCACAGCCATATAGTAATAGAGACCACACATAAAACTTTAGTGTTCTTAAGCTTATTGAGACTAATAGCTTGGGGTTACAGAGTACTTTACGCATATTCACGAAACTAGATCTTGCTATTTTAATGCGTCTTCTTGTAATACAGAGGCGACTCCACTGTCACCACTGAAATACTTTATAGACCCTCAAAGGATGCTAACCCTGCGAGCGGCTGCAAGGCTTACTGGCCCCACTGGTCCGAACTGACTGGTTCGTCTTCGTGGATTTACGAGTAGATAAGGGATTTTCGGGATAGGGGTAAGGACTCCTAGGTCTCAGGTCCTGTAAAGAGCTGAGGTTATGGGCTTACTTTTGAAGCCGGAGATATGTATAAGCAGAATGTTGTACTCTCCTAGTCTCTGTCTGAATCGGCCGAAGGAAGATTAAAACCAAATTAGAGTCTACAATATATTGAATGTACCCTGTAGTTTACAAATACAATCGTTAATAAGTCATTCGGCACGCCGGAAGACGAGAAGCAAGAGAGTGAAGAATTGACAGTTGTACTATTATAATTACTCAGGTTAGTATATAGAAATCTGTTACCTTATGTGTAGTTAGACTTTCAACAACGACACGTCTTCGGTCCTCTGGAATTCGGTCAGTTGAGGGGACTCCTCCGTTGTTACGAACTTCACCACTAACCTGACTACACGAGATACTATGTCGCGTGTTAACCACTCCCCGGAGACATACCGACTGCTATTACTGATCGCGTACTAGACGCTATTGCGTCCGACCCGATGCCGGAAATACTGCCTGAGCGGGCAGTCACGGTGCCCCGCTATTACTGACTGACTCGCTATTACTGACTGCCCCGACTCCTCCGTTCTTCTTGTTTTTATTGAGCTCGTATTTTCAATGCCGGTTATAGTGCCAAGGTCGTGTTTTCGCTGAGTTGTAGTCCTAGGCGTTATTTGGGTCACGAGTATTGTTATTTTTATAACAATAGTTTCTGTTTGACGTGCTTTTTCTACGTTTAAACAATTATTAAACAATGCACTAACTAGGTCAATTTCTTTGTGTAATTTAAAATGTATACTTTCTGTATTAATTCTCCCTTATTAAATTTGGAATATATAATAATTATCTTGAATAATTATTATCTTTTCTATGCTCCTTAACCCTTTATTCCAATTCCCGACTCACTTGCTACGCTCACATTACATTCTTTATATCTTGCATCTTTTGAGTTGTCTACTTCATTACTTAGCTCTCTGCCCAGGTATATGAAGCTTTGGGAATTTTGAAGGGTGATAGATAGCATTTATTTGTATGTTAGGTGTAACTTGTTCGTGGGGGTTTTTGTGAAACACCAGAATTTTGGTTTTGGAAAAGTTAATGTCCAAGCCCAGCTTGTGACTTTCTTCTGATAATATGTTCATCAATATTTTTAGTTGGTCTTTTGTTTCTGCTATATTAGATTAGATTAAGAGAGGTGGCCTTTCGGCCTATTCCACTGCGACCTTTTCAGATCTATTGTGGTCCTCTAGTCCTAGATAACATTTTCTAGCCTGACCCTCTTTATAAAGTCTAGTAGCTTCGAGAATGTACCTTCCATGTAGCTATTTGCCGGTGGATTTTCTTCTCCTAATGGAAAAAACCGCACATTTGCCAGACTGTCACACTGACATAAAATGTGCTCTGCTGTTTCTTCTTCGAGGTGACAGAATCTGCACAGGTCATCATCTGATAATCCCATTAGCTTCACGTGCCTATTCAGCTTACAATGGCCTGTTAGAAGACCTACTATGGCTTTGACTGTTTTCCTATCTTTGCTAATTAGGTCTGCCATAAATTTTGGCGAATATTCTCTAATGAACTGTTTCGCCTGTCTTTGTCCTGGTGAATTCCTCCATCATTCCAGAGATTTGTGATCTACCCAGTTCTTTGTAGCCGTTCTTGTTACTGACTTTGGAACGCCGCAGAAGGGTTCCAGTCTAATGAATGGCATTGATGAGCCTTGTTTGGCCATTTCATCTGCTTTTTGTTTCTGCTAATACTACGGTGTCGTCGGCATATCGTATATTGTTAATAATGATTCCATTGACTCTGGCACCTTCAGGGCGATCTTCAAGAGAAGCTCTAATTATATGTTCGGCATATACATTAAATAATAGGGGGGACAAAATGCACCATTGACGCACTCCTCGTTCTATGTTGATGTACTTGGTGTTTCCGTTCTCTGTTCGAACGCATCCTGTGAGGTTCCAGTATGTATTACTAATGATAGCTATGTTATGGTCGTCCAACCCTACTTCTTTTAGCACTTCAATCAATTTTTTGTGTTTGATGCGGTCGAAGGCCTTTCTATAATCGACAAAGCACACATACAGCCGTTTTTGAACCTCAAGATACCTTTCTGCCATCAGTGTCAATCCCATAATTGCTTCTCTAGTACCTGTACCCGTTCTAAAACCATATTGAGAACGACTCAGGTATTCTTCACACTTATTGTGAATTCGGTTAAAGTTATTCGCATAAAAATCTTAGCAGCATGACTTATTAGGGATGCAGTTCGATGGTCTTGACATTTCCTTGATTTTGTTATTTAGGAAGAACTATACGACTCGACATCATTCTTATATAAGCAGCTTACGAAGCGCTCGGCACAATCCAAAAGAACAAAAAGAATACTCCATTGTGGTGGACAAATGACATTGCCAATGCAGTACACAACAAGAAACAAGCATATCAAAAGTGGCTGCAAACAAATGATCCAGATGATAGACGAACATATGCAAGATCAAACCGAGAAGTAAAAAATTTAGTAACTAAAGCAAAAAATATTTCCTGGGAAAGTAAATGCGAAGAACTCAACAAATATATAGGGTCAACAAGATCAAGAGAAGCATGGAAAACGGTAAAAAATCTGAGAACAAACAGAAAAGAAACGAGTAGAATAGATTTAATAGAAGAAAAATCTTGGATCGAACACTACTCACAACTTTTAACTGAAACAAGACCTCAATTCACGAACATCAGTACAACAACATATGAACTGGAATTCAGTGAAGACGATGAAATAACAGTACAGGAAGTCGAGAATGCAATACGAACTCTAAAAAATGGGAAGTCATGCGGACCACAAGGTATACCAAATGAATTATTAAAACATAGCCCACAAGTATTACGGGAATTACTGGCGTATGTCTTCACCTTATTCTATAATGGACACGACTTACCACCGGAGTGGACAAAAGCACATATTAACAACATATACAAAAAAGGAGATAGAAAAAATTGTTCAAACTATAGGGGGCTAAGTGTCACTCTCAAGACTGTATAGAAAAATAATAAAAAATAAAATTGAAAAAGAGATGACAGATGTAGAAGAACAGAATGGCTTTCGTGCAGGCAGATCCTGCATGGACAGTATATTCTTTCTAAAGCAAGTTATCGAAAAAATATTAGCCCATAACCTTTCAACTCATATAGTCTTTATAGATCTGACAAAGGCATACGATAGTGTACCACTTTCAATGCTTTGGGTAGCAATGGAAAAACAAGGAATAAGCAAAAAAAATATACAAGCAGTACAACAGCTCTACAAAAATATGACGGCAAACATTAAAACTGGAAATAGATTAACTAGAGAAATTCCTATTAGTAAGGACCTAAAGCAAGGCTGCTGCATAGCACCTACACTCTTCAAAATATATCTAAATGAGACACTCTCACTATGGAGAAGAAAGTGCTGCAATATGGGCATCCCAATCGGAGATGATAGATTGTACACGATACATTTCGCTGATGACCAAGCCATTTTAGCTGAAGACGAGAGTGATATAAGCTACATGCTTAGAAAACTGGAAGGTGAGTACACTAAATGGGGCCTCACAATTAATATACAAAAAACTGAGTACTTAGTTGTAGGAGAACAACCAGAAAGCCTACAAATAGAAATGGGAACTATAAAACCAACAGACAATTTTAAGTACTTGGGAGTCCAAATAATATCAAAAGCAGGAAGTAGCGAAGAAATACATTCCAGGATTGGCGAAGCAAGATCAGCCACCAGACAGCTACACGGGCTATTATGGAATAAAAAAATAACAAAAGAAAATAAAAGAAGAATTTATAAAACAATAATAGAAAGTATTGGACTGTATGGCGCCGAACTCTGGGAAATAAACCAAAGAAACAAATCAAAAATTAAGGCCATGGAAATGAACTACTGGAGACGATGTTGCCAGCTCACTAGACTTGATAGGGTGAGAAACGAAGATATTCGGAGAGAAATGGAAATCGATCTAGACATAATAGACACAATCGAAGCCAAAAGACTTAACTGGTATGGACACCTTCAGAGAATGCCGGAAAATAGATGGCCAAAAAAAATAGAAGAATGGACTCCGCCAACTAGAAGAAAACGAGGTAGACCAAGACGATCCTGGAGAGACGATGTCGACGATGCAATGACCGCCAGAGATCTAACAACTGAAGATTGCTTCGACAGAAAACGCTGGAAATTAGGATGCGAGAAGTGGCGCCAGCTGTAGAAGCTCGCTTGTTATATATATATATATATATATATATATATATATATATATATATATATATATATATATATATATATATATATATATATATATATATAGAGGAAGAACTATATATGTGGATGTTAGCCAGTCATGCGGTATTATGCCATGTTCATATATAATGTTGCAGAAGTATATTAATTTCCTGACAACATTATCACTTGGGTGTTTAAAATGTTTGGCTGTTATTAGGTCTTCGCCGGGTGCCTTGTTATTTGCGTCTTTTATTGCCTGCAAAACTTCTTCGGTGAGAATGTCTAATTTTTCATCTGTATCTATTTGTGGAGGCTCTTCTGTTCTCTGATCACCAAACAAATCTTTAAGATATTGCTCCCATATTTCTTTCTGTTTTTCAGAGCTTTTCTTTACTTGCAAATCTTCTACCTCTTTATATTTCCTAATATTCATTAAAATAGAACTATTGCGTTGGATGGGACATGTGGAAAGAATGGAAGAAGGGGAAATACAAAACAAAACAAGCAAACAAGTGCTAAAAGAAAAAAGACGAAGAAAAAGACCGAATCTGAGATACATAAAACAAATAGAAAATGATATAACATCCTTAAGGATAAGAAATTGGAGAAAAAAATCATGAAGTAGAAAAATCCTGGAACAGGCTAAGACCAAAAAAGAGTTTTCGATCCACTGATGATAATGATACATTGACAGAATTGATCTTGATCGGCGGAAATCATTGCGGAAACCAGTGCGGAAAACGTTAAAAGACTAAAAAATTTAAGATCCAGAAGACAGTACAAAAGCATTATCTAATGGACTAAAAAGCGCCATCGCGCTTCGTACCAGATATAGAGGGAAAATGCGACTAAAAGGAAGCAAAGCAAGTACAGTCCATCTAATTTACTTACCGTTGCACGTCATTACCATTGGCAGAGATCAAAGTTGCCATAGTTGCCAAAGTATAAAAAAAATCCTAAATCCATTTTAAATCAAATAGGTCACATGAATATTGCAAAAGTGGACTATACAACAAAACAAATTAATATTTAATCTAAATAAATAGAAACAAAACAAGAGTCCAAAAAAAATCTTGTTAAAAACAATTTGAGCCGATTGTATGCGTCGTGTAAAGATGTAAAATGGAATACTTAAACAAAAACAACACTTTTTTCAACACCATGTCAACACCACAACTCTCAAATAAGTGTTACCAATGTATGCCAAAATATCACCTTAGTTCGATTACAGTTACAGTGTGTTCCGAACAAATGTTCTTCATAAAAACGCTTTATAATGCAGTTATACAAATTAAATGAAACATATCATTGTGCATTTTTTTGAGTTAACATTAATAGGAATCTTTAAATATTATTTGTACGCGTATATAATAAAATATGTCTAGTGGCTGTAATGCCAGTGTACTCGGCAAAGTGATTCTAAAACAGAACACACCTATCGCCTAAATATTTCGTGTTGGTATCATGTGATCTCACGGGCTATGACGCGGATGACGTGCAACGGTAAGTAAATTAGATGAAGTATATGTTGCTTAAAAATGGTTATGCTATGCTATGTTAAAAATTGATAACAGAACAGTGTGAAGAAGCAGAGGGAGTACACGTGAAAATAAATTTATTTTATAGAAAAATTGTGGCTCATTCCCAGTAAAAATAGTAAGTTGTATTAGGATGCCACAAGAGAACAATATTAACTCAAATAAAACATTTGTCATTCTTTGTGTCAATATAATCTTAGATAAAATTGGTTACCATGTAAGTCAATAAACCACAAAGTAATTATTCAAATAATATTAAAGTAAAATCCACAAGGAAACTAAATTCCTGTAGCTGGCTGTATACCATGTATCACAAAAAAATTATTAAACAATTCCTTTATAAAAGGTACCTGTGATGTATCCCGATAAAGTTTTAAATATTATACTTTTTATAAAGGAATTTTTAAATATTTTTTCTATATTAAAGTACTTACTTTCTCGAAAACTCTACTAATTTAGCAAATGGTTGTTCCCAAGTGTACATTTTGATTACTTGTATCCCCGCTATAATTTCATTCATCAGTCTTACTCTCTCGTCAGTTCTGTTGGCAGTTTGAAGCCTAAATTGTGATGTCTTTTTACCCAACCAAGCTGAAAATAAAATAGGTATAATTAATAAGGTGATTGGCTGGATAATAGTTCAGCTACCTGGAGAGCTCAATTTATTTTGAGTGGTATATTGGACAGTTGGATGGAGCCACACTCCAGCAAGATATTTAAAAAAAGTGGTTTTGAATTTGAATTGCGCGTGAGTGATTGGTGAGAAAAAGCAGCACATACAACACAAATTCGATTTCATTGTTTCTATCATCCTATAGTGGGTCCCCATCTGGATTTGTCTCCAATACGTTCTGGTGGTTAAGGTCTTAATATTTCATTTAAAGTTAATATGAAGCTAATAATATAATATATCGTCCCCTTAATACTACAATTAGGTAACTCAAAATTTGCTATTTTTCAGGAGAGCAGTTTTAAATTTGAAAAGAAACAAACCGTGCTGTATTACAGTAAATGAATTTTTTTCTTACTATTTATAGCAAGAAGTTGAAATAAATCTCACTTCTGATTAATTGTAAGCGTTCTAAACACTTGTTTTAGTTTTTTTTGTTATTGAAAATCAAGATATCTAGTTGTAGCAATTAAAATTAAAAAAAAAATTAAATATACCTAGTTGTCAACGTAGGAATAAGTACAACTTTTTAATACCAAAAAAGGAATTTATTAACATATTTTGATCAAAATATAACAAAAAAAGTAGAAGAACTTACCTAATAATTATAGCCAATATTTTTCTTTCACTCGGTCTCACTTATGTCAGATTCACTTGATACTTCTCTTCATGTTGCTTTAAAAGGCAGGTTTTCAAAATAATCCTTATTTTCCAGAGGAATTGCGGAAGGTTTGGTATTAAACAATGTCAATAAATCCTTGTATTTTTCCAGAGTAATAGGGATTCTGTCCTTATACAAAGGATTTGGCATTATTGTAGTTATATTTTGAGTCGATTTTGTCCTTCTCTGGCAATTTAAAGTTCTAAATTCTTCGTTAAAGTTTTCTTTAAATTTCATAATGGATGGTTCGCATTTATAAAAGAACATACAACACATTTTCTGTCATGCTACTTGCTGCCCACTTTCGTCCTTACCTCTGAAAATTAAAATTTTATCCGCATGATTTTTCCAATCCAATATTTGTTCGTGAGTAATGTTGTAAATGATGTACGGTTTATCTCCTTTTCTCCGGGCACATCTAGCAATTGTTTTCCAGTCTTATGGTAAATGTGTTTTGCCTACTCTTTTGAACTCTGTTGAAATGGCTGAGTGCGTGGAGTCGCACTCCATTTCACTATGGCCGGAAACTAGAAAGTTTAGTTCAATGCTTTCCAAATGTGGAATATGTTGAACAGCTGTTAAGCACATACCAGCGACGTTTTCATTTAAATTTTGTCCACCACATCTATCACTAAAACAGTGAACCTGAGTTACTTGTTCCGGCAAAGATTCAAAGTATTGGTGTAAACAAGTGGCAATCTCACAGCTGCCTCGTTTTCCTTCAACCTCGGTCCACATGAAGCAATCACCCTGTTTAGACACTGTATTATATATGGTGAAGTTAAATACTTTTAGTCTTTGTTTGTAAAATAAAGCGTTATATGTTGGGTCATTTGGTACCAAAAGAACTTGTTGAAGATCAAAATTGCAACTTATGAGTGTACCGTTAGAATTTTCTGCTAACTGTCTACTTAATCTCTTATCTTGGATGCTATGTTAGTGAGATATTCGGTTTCACCATAATATGCATACTCGACATATTATGCTTGTCACATAAAAATAGTATCCTATGGTATCAATTTTATATTTATGTTCAAAAACTAATGGATCGACAAATACCTAACCTATAAGGTCTCCCATGATTTTAACAAATTTATTTTTCCAAATAGTATTTAAATACTTAAAAACCTTTTGTTTCTGTTAACTGGTCACGTACTAATCTTATATATATTTGGCTTTTTTAGACATTTTTACTTTTGTTTCAAAAAATATTACGAAAAATAAAGCAACAATGTCACTCACAATGTATGCTATGACGAACTGCACAAATGGTATCTTAAAGAATATCCGGAGGAGGCAACGCATAACACGAGTTACCCGGGCGCACAATTAGGTATGTCAAGTTAAACACTTGCTGCAGCAGAAATTTTTGGCGTTGTCAGTTGCACATTTAGATATTTCAATATGACCACTTTTAGCAACAATTTTTTTTTCGAACTTATGACATAGCTATTTGTGTGTAATTGGATTCTCATGTATAGAATGGGCATAGAACTTACCTAGTTGTAGTATTAAAAAGAGCGTCAAAAATTATATTGGTAACAGTAGATAACTCAAAATCGTAAAATTTCGAGTTACCTAGTTGTAGTATTAAGGGGACGATATGATCTATTTAATTTCCTTTATTCCCAGTTGAGTGTCTTATAGTTTATTTTTATGAACGAGAGAGTAATTAGCATAATTTTAACTGGTACCTCCGACCACTCCATGGGCGTGCTCAAGATTAATTGAAAAATTACTTTGAATAATTGTAAAAAATAAATGAATTATTTCAGTGTTATAAAGTGTTATGTGTATGTAAACAAAAGTGACCTCTTTTATCACACACTATATTAGAACTGACTGGCCTACATTAAAAAGGGTTTTAAAAAATTCACATTTTTTTTTACTTTTTAAAAATTACAAAAGAGAAAAATAGTTTTTAAACCGTCTAAGGTATGTTAAATAGATGAATAAAAATATTAATATAAAACTTACAGCTACTTGTTACAAATCCAAATCAGATTCAGAAGATGAACTTTCAGAACCAAGATTTATAATAACTGGCTCGATCATTTTATCAGTAATATTGTCCAGCTTCCACATTTTTTCCTCTTCTTTAATACTGTGATTTACTGCCTTTTCCCAGTTTTCAGGTTTTACATTATTTACAGCCTCCAAAAACAACTGTTTAACATCATGAATTTTAAAAGTGGTATTTTTTCTTGAAACTTCACTCTTTATCTGTGCCCATACCAGTTCAATCGGGTTTAATTCACAATGATATGGTGGGGATCTAAGTACTGTCATTCCACGATTTTTGGCAATTTCATCAATTTCGTATTTTTTAAATTAATTTTTCTCTATGAAGGCCACACAACGAATAAAGTTCCTTTCTTATAGATTCGGGATGGTACGTAATATTTTTTGAACTCAGCCAATTCTGCAAGTCTTTTTTTAACCACTTGGTTGTGGGCAGTCCTTCTATAAGTGTGGAGTGATAACTTGCACTATCCATTACTATTACACAGTTCTTAGGAAGAAGATCTATCATTTGTTCGAACCATTCTTGAAAGACATCAGCGTTCATGTCTTCATGGTAGTCACCGGTACGAGTTGATTCAAAAGTTAATAAACCACCTTCAACAAAACCGTCTGAACTGCCAATGTGTACTATTATCAGCTTGCGTCCCTTTCCTGATGGTGGGTTTAAACCAGTAGATAAGTTATTTACAAAAGCGTGCCTTTGAATTGTAACAATTTCTCCCTCCAAAATTTATTTGGTGTATGACCCTCGTTGATCCATGTTTCATCAAGATAAAATATTTTTCTTTTTTGGTTTCTCATTTCCTTTATGGTTCTTAGAAAATGTCTTCTCCATATGACAATATCGCTTCTTTCTAATAAAATAGACTTTCTGGGATTCTTTTTCCAGCGGAAGCCTATTTCTTTTAAAAGTTTCCATAACGTACTTCGACTCATTTCTGGGTAATCCTTATCATCTCGAACTGAGACAAGAACTTTATCCAATGTTGGAAATTCTTGTCTAAAGAAGAATTCATGCACTTTCCGTCGAAGTCCTTCTTTAAAATGATATTCTATTTGAAATTTTGGTTTCCCTGGAGCATTACGTGGCATTTGAAAACTACCACATTTCTCTTCTTTAATAACTCTGTAAATCGTAGATTTCCCAACACCAAGTGTACTGCTAACTAACTCAACGGTCTCATCAACACTTTCACATAAACGTTTGTCTGTAAATGATTTAAAACAATTAAATATTAATGTTTTTTCATTAACTGTTAAAGGACCAATTTTTCGGCGTTTACACGGCACTTCCAAATTTTCCATAACACTAGTATACACAATAAACTGCACCTTGCAACTGAAGTACCTACTTTTAGTGAAGTGTTAAGAATTTTGAATACGTCACTTGGACCTTCCTACAAAATGGAAAAACCCACTATCACATTTTCTGTGGAATAAATTTAGAAGGTAATTATCTAGTCAATTACTGTCGTAGATTCCTGGAATTAAAGAATTAAATTAATGTTTGATTGTTGAAACCCTTACTTCGTGGAATGCACTCATTTCAGATAAAATAAAACGTTTTATTTTATCTAAAGAATTAAACTTTATTTTGCAAATAGGTAGGTACTTATTAAACTTTTATTGGTTATATATAACCAATAAAATAAACATCTTACATTTCTTGCAAATTTATTAGTACCTGTTAACCTCAATCACTCCGACACTGGCAACCTTATTTAGGGATTAGTAACCCTCACAACTATTGTATTCTATTCTGCTCCAACCTTTATACCTGATGCTCATACTCAATTTAAAATTGTTTTCCTATATACTTCTGTAAACTTGTTGACAAATATCGGTTTTTCATTGAGTCACCCATATCAACAGTTTAGGGATTTGCATACATAATTTATTGTTTTATTACTCTCTCATACATAAAAATACACTATAGATATTAGCTGACACTTTATGTTTAAATTTTGTTTTTATGAATCTTAAGTTCAATATAAGAAAGGAGATCAGGAAAAGGAGAGAAAAAATCGATATTAATAAACTAAAAGATCTCGACATTGCAAATGTATACAGACAGCAAATGGAAGATCAAATAAAAACAGAAGAAGGCCTAAGAAGAAGAAGACATTAACCACCTCTGGACAAATATACGAGATATTGTGTTACAGAAATCGGTTGAAATATTGCGCAAAATCAAGTCAGAAAAAAGAAATCATTGGTTTGATCATGAGTGCGAAATGGCTACAAATAGAAACAACGTAGCATATCAAAGAATCATCGAAGCAGGTTGTACACGGAGAAAAAAAAAGAACAGTATAGACGTCTTAGAAGAGAGGAAAAACGTATCCATCGACATAAGAAGAGGGAATACGAACAGAATACTCTCAAATCCCTAAATAATACCTTCGAGAATTTAAACCACGATTAAAAATTTGTAAAAACACTAACGGTGAAATTCTACATTATAAAAACTCAGTTCTTAATAGATGGGCACAGCATTTCAGCGAACATCTAAATATAAACGATATTGAATGAGGTTACAACACAGACAATCAACAAAATCTACAACGTCAACTACACAGTGAAGACCCAACAAGACAAGAAGTGTAAAATGCCATCCTAAAACTCAAAGACAATAAAGCTCCAGGAATCGATGAAACCTGTTCAGAAATATATAAAAAAAAATTGGTGATCAACTTTATGCAGCAATCCATAAACTAATAGTAATTCTATAACAGAATGAATTGGTATCAAAGAGTGGCTAAAGGGAATAATATGTCCGTTGCATAAAACGGGTAATCAACTTAGGTGTAATAATTATAGAGGCATTACTCTGTTAGCATCTGCGTATAAAATCTTCGGCAATGTATTGTTTGAAAGATTTAACATTTTACAAAGGGTATTGTTGGTCAATATCAATGCGGATTTACTGCTGGAAAGCCAACTACACATCAAATTCAGGCACATAGGCAGATTCTAGAAAAATAACCAGAATATAACATAGATACACACCATCTTTTCGTCCACTTCAAAGCAGCCTATGACAATGTGAAAGTAACTGCATTATATAATGCAATAATAGACTTTGGAATCCCACCTAAGTTAGTTAAATTCGATTATATAATGCAATAATAGACTTTGGAATCCCACCTAAGTTAGTTAAATTCGATTATATAATGCAATAATAGACTTTGGAATCCCACCTAAGTTAGTTAAATTCGCCCTAACTAAAAAAATGCTAAACGTAAGCTTATGCGTTAGAATTGAAGGAGAAAACTCTACGTTCATTGACATTAATAATGGTCTAAGACAGGGGGACGCGCTGGCCTGTCTCCTCTTTAATATTGCGTTGGAAAAGACAGTCAGACAATTAAATATTAAAAGGAATGGAAATAGAAGTAGATTGACGCAAATTCTCGCACTCGCTGAAGATATAGCTATAGTGGGCAGACATATGAGAGACATGGTACAGTCTTGCAGACACGGCAAGTGAATTAGGACTTCTGGTAAATGAGGAAAAAATCAATTATGTGTTGGTTCAGGGAATCTGAGTTATTGTATTAAAAAGCCTATGTTCCGTAAAATAAATTCCAAATGTGTATATGACTGTTTTTATGTGAAAATAAAATTGTTGCTTTACTATTCAATTTCAATAAATACATAATATTTTCTCTTCTTACAATTTCATATTTTCTCACCTGATAATCCTTTCTTGGACAAATATTTTAAAATGAGATTTAGTCAAATCGATCAACTCGATTTCAAGTTGTTATAAAAAAATAAATTGACGTTAGTTAAACGTAATTTTATTTTTATAAGTGTATATGTATGTATATTATGTATAATATAACGTGCAGAATTAGTTATACTTACATTGAAATGGAATAAACAATAATAATACTAAAGCTCCTGCTAACGCAGCTCCTCCCACGTTTACGTATAATAAGTACATAACAATTAATATTTCTATGGGGCCTATGTATATGTTATGGAAAAAGTAAACAGCCAAGTCAAATCGAGACACATCGTTGGAAAGCAAGTTGACCATTTGTCCTATTGTAGTTTCAGCCAAAGCAGACTTGCTCAACTTTAGAGCTTTCCTGTATATGAGGGAGCATGATGCTACACGCATTTGCATACCTGAAATTGGACACTGAGTATAAGTAAAGATCTGGCTAGATTTCAGCTAGACCTGACCAATCAAGATAATATTTTCCAATCACCCCTATCACTATATGTAGTATTACACAATCATTAAACTTCAGCTGTGGGAGAGTAGAAATATTTTAGTTGACATAGTTTGGCACATATTTTCTTGCTATGTTAGTACTGAACATAAATTCTTCATGTTTCAAAGTATATATAATGCACTTTACTTTACCACTTGTTTTATTTATGAAGGAGTCTTCTGATTCAAAACCGATATGCAAGGACGTCAGCTTTGAGATATCCTACCCTGTATTATAAATTATAGAGATGTATTTAATCTTTTAGTACGTAGTCACATAATAAATAACAATCAGAATACCCACTCTCAGATGCCGCCTTTGAAGCGTGTCAGCACGCAATTGCCATGTTTTAAACGGAAACATAGACCCGGGTTGAGAAATTTGTGACTAGCTACGACAGAACTGTAATTTAAATTTTTAGAGATTAATATTCTATACTCGGTTCACAATTTGTTGATAGCTCACTACAAGTTTAATCCTAATTAGAGAACTGAAATACAGAGAGGATAGGTAATACGATATAATAGTAAAAACCAACCTGAAACTGACGATTTAAGATGTTTTCGACTAACCCACCTTGTATCCGCCGGAATACAATACAGCGGTCAAGCTTATAATCCAATTAGGAACGTATTTTGGCCGACCAGTGTCGTAGAGTATATGATTGAAACATTTATTTGAACTAAATAAATATATTTTTTAAATTGTATTTTTGTTTTAATAAAACTTATAATAAAATAAAATATTTTATTCAAAAATAAAGTTTTTTGCCATTTGTAAAAGATACATTTATTTAATTAAGTGGAAAGGCACCAAATGTGTTTTAAATGTATCCATTATTTTCGAGTTCGGAGAAAACTAATAAATATTTTTGAAAAATTTAAAAGCAGAATGAAAGATTACATTATTACTGAGGGTATTATATATGTGTATACTGATGTATATTACAGAAAGTCCCTGAAAACTTCTACAATGTTTATTTTATTATGTTATGCAACAGGGGTGAAAATAAAAGAGAGAAAATAGTATAATTTTTAATTGAAAATATTGCATGCAAAAGAAACTTTTTATTTATTCTAATAAATATTTTATTCTGCCTTTAAATTTTTCCAAAAAGGCTTTTTGGTTTTCTCAGGATTTGAAAAAAAAATTGATACATTTAAAACACATTGAACATTTTGACAGGCGACGTTTTGCGCCTTTCCCCTTTAGTACCTTACGATTACAACTACTATCACTTACCTTATATAATAATTACGATTAGAAAACTATTCAAATTCAAAATAAATAGGATCAACTTCGGAATCCGAGTCGTCTTGAGGGTTAATAATTAGCGGTTGTGTCTCTACGGTCGCATCAATTATGTTATCAAGATCCCACATTTTTTGTTCTTCTTCTATTACATGTCTTACTGCATCTTTCCAGTTTTGTTCTGTAATGTGTTGTAAAGACTCGTATAACAATTCACGTACAGCTTGTATTTTATATGACGTATTTTTTCTAGCCACATAACTTTTCATTTGTGCCCAAATGAGTTCAATTGGATTTATTTCGCAGTGGTAGGGTGGAAGTCTAAGGACTGTGATGTTTCTCCTTTTTTTTCTCCTCTGTTTTTTCCACGCAGTCGTTGGAAGTCTTTCTACTAGTCGTGAATGATAAGGTGCATTATCTAATACTATAATTGAATTTGGTGGTATGTGTTCAATCATCTGCACAAAATACTCTTCGAAAACATCAGCTGTCATCTCCTCGTGATAGTCTTTTGTGCTTTTGGACTGAAATTCCAACAAACCATGCTTAACAAATCCTTTTTCACTGCCAATGTGAGAAATTATTAATCTACTGCCTTTACCAGAAGGTGGGGAGATACCAGTAAACCAACCTTCCATAAAGGCTTGCCTGGAGCTTAATATATTTTTAGACCAAACTTTTTTTAGAGTATGACCTGAGTTTACCCACGATTCATCCTGGTAGAAGATTGGCCTTCCTTCAGCCCGGAATTTTCGTATGGATCTTAGATAATTTCTTCTCCAACATATTATCTCCTTCCGGTCAATCAAAAGTGATTTTCGGTCTGATTTCTCCCACCGGAAATTTAATTGTTTTAAAACTTGCCACAATTTAGTTCGTCCGATATGAGGCAAATCCGGATCATCTCTAACTTCTTGTAAAATTTTATTTAGGTTAGGTATTTCTTTTTCGAAAAAAAATCCATGAATTTTCCTTCGAATACCATTTTTGGCAAATTCATCAAGTTCAATAGGCTTTTTCCCTCTCTTTAAGTGTTCGTTTGTGTTTGGGTTAGCTATACCGTGTTTTTTTCTTTCTGATAGGAACCTATATATAGTTGACTCCCCTACGCCAGTCATGTTGGCACAATTTTCGACTATGTTGCGAACAGTGTTTGTGGGATTCTGAGAAACCAGAGCATCGTGAATATTCAGGACAATAGTCTTCTCTCTTGGTTAATAGACAGACTTACTGACTGTACGCAACAGTACCGGTGTAAAACTTGATGATGTTGATGATGAAGCCAAACAATCCAACAAAACGAGCACGAGCGAAAGGTACGTATATGTTCGTAGGTATATGGAATAAAAAATCACTCACGCACTGCATATAATTCGCAAAAGAAATATTCGAGACGCTAATTACTGCCGTAGAAGCGGAAACACCGACGAGCCGTAAATTACATGCGATCAAAAACGTACTAAACAAACAAATTGTTTTCGTTCGTAATAACTTCACCCTTTTAAGTTAAGTTTCGAATATAAACTAAACAGACGAGGTACGTGGCCAAATCCGGCATCTATACCCATTATATTATTAAAAATCTGGGGAATTCCATCCTAATTATCTTGCAACCGATAGTACCTTCGGATATAAATACCAGGTTTTCTAGTAAAGTGATTAAACGCGAAGATTAGTATTGAAATATCCCAAGAGATAAGGTATTCTTATTTAAAAAATTGTTAATGGTTAAATTATTATTTTTATTAATATAATATAATAACCAACATTAGCCGTGAAAGTTTTAATTGTTTTTTACTAAATATATCAGTATTAAAACATTATTAATGTTAATATTAATTTTAATGAATAAACACCTCAGGAACGCCTATGATGATACAAATTTTACGACCGTTTGATGATTTTGAGGCATATTTCGTGCTATCAACTATTTGTGAACAGAGAATAGTACTGCGCGAACGAGATGTGCGTACTTATCTTGACAAGCAGAGTGGGCATTCTGATTGTTTATTATTCTGTGACGTAGTAAAGCTTACAGAAAAGTTTTCTGTTTGATGTCGAACATATGTATAATTAATAATGGTCAGGTCCAGTGTACAAAATGTAAAAATATAAGCATAAGTGAGTACCTAACTGCATAAGTCTTAAATTAAAGTTATGTCCCATGTTGGCTGCTACAAAGGAAGTGAGAACGATTAAAGAAGCATACAGGTAGATTTCACTTCTTTCTTCATCTAGCTGCTTAGACTCATATACTTTTAAAAGTTCTGCAATAAGGAATGGCTGAGATATCCTACAAAATATTACGGTTGTTAGAAACTTTTAGTACTTTCAAAAAGGTCAGTTTTTAAAAATGAATATGTGGCGAATTATAGATGAGGAACCTATGGATGGACATGATGAGGACGCAAGTACAATAATAATGTAATACGATAAGAATTTAACTCACGGTTTGACTAATTAACACTATATATTTAATACTCATGTGATGAGAGGGCAAAAATACGCATTATTACAACTTATTATGCAGGGCAAAATCCGAGGAAAGCGAAATGTGGGAAGACGAAGAATATCCTGGCTTAAGAACTTAAGGGAATGGTTTGAATGCAGTAGTGCAGAACTTTTTAGAGCGGCAGTCAACAGAGTCCGCATAGCCGTGATGATTTCCAACCTTCGATAGAAGATGGAACTTAAAGAAGAAGAATTTAATACTCGTAAAATGGTTCTTGTTGAAATGTGGGTTAAATGGTTGTTATTGGATTTTCGAGGTGGTGAAAGGTAGCTGAAACTTTGACTGCGTTAAAACTGTGGACAAATATCCACAGTTTGTCAGAACGTACTGACACATCCTACTTCTACGACCTCGTGGTAACCCCTGGTAAATGCGTACAATGGATGTACGTTATAAAGCTAACAGAAGAGGGTGAATGACAAGTTTTCAGCCTGAAGAAATTGAATCGTTTCTGCTAAGGGAAAAAGTGCTGAGAGGAAATCCTGGTCTTCCAGGATTGGTGGTTGAAACCATGAGCCAACCTCTCATCTTTCAGAAAACCTCTTAAATGGTTCAAAACTTCCATCAAAAGCTTTAAAATAAGGAGGGATCAAATATAATAAAATGAAAAAAAAAACAGATAAAGAATATGGTTACCTGGAATATTAAGGTATTAATAAAAAAGACAAAAATATTTCAATAGTTGTCAAGAATGAACGTTGATGTCGAGGTACTTACTGAAACCAAGAAAAGAGCTATTAGTCATTTTAAGAGATCTTATGGTACGGGAAAAGTTAGCAACATTAGTCATTGATAGATTGATTGAAAGATTGATAGATTTATATGTAAGCCAATGCTTAAAAATTATGAACGGTTTCTTCTTACATAAATCTATTCATAAATAAACATCGTATCAACCACATGGAATTTAGAGAAGCATTATTGACTATTGCAATAATCTAAGCTGATCAATACGGACGTAAGGGTACATAGAGCACAACGAATATGGATCAGACAATTTACCGGTAAAGGCCAATATATACATTTCATAACGAAAACAACATAATAAATATAGCTAACATCAAGAAGAATAAAAGCTTACAGTACCCAAATACAATTTGGAAAGACTGAGACAAGAGTCAGTACAGTATTTTCATAAATGTAAACTGGCTGCAAAAGTAAATAACAGTGAAGATGGGAACATGTAACCTTATACCAGAGGTTACAAAAGACCATTCACAGTGCTACGTAAGAATCAATAGGGGAAGAGGAAAACAAAAAAGGGAACATCCAGAATAATAATTAGAAGCTTTAGCATCTTTGATAGATGATTTAGCATCACCTTCAGAAATTTATTCAGTCATTAATACTCTTATCTTCAGATCAAGCCATTGCGAGGATGCAAGTAGATCTGCTGAGGTTTCTTCTTCAAAACAAGCTCTTATCCAAAATGATTACCGTGAAAATCGCATCAATATGAGCAACCACATGCATTAATCTCCTGCTCAATCTCAATATATATTTTGGACTGAGTAGACATATAAAAAGTAGAAACTTAAGCCAAAAAACAAAAATAACCATATACAAAACCCTTATAAAGCCAGTGTTGACATATGTATTGGAGACATGGACCATCTCCAAGGCAGACGAAGACCTTCTGCTTATATTTGAACGAAGGATCCTGAGAGGAATATTTGGTGGCATCTGTAAAAATGGTGTTTGGAGGAGGAGATACAACTACGAGGTATACCACAGATATAAACAAATATTTGGTGGTAAAGACGTAGTATCTCTTATAAGAATAGGAAGACTAAGTGAGAGCGCCCACCAAAGTGGCGTGACACGTAGCAAGTGGCAATTAGCACGCGTCTAGCATGCTATCTTGCATGTTTCTTAAAATGTAACCAATGAAAACGAATGATTCAGCGTACACCAAAATGACAGTGACGTCATTCATTCTAATCATTCGTTTTCATTGGTTACATTTTAAGAAACATGCTAGACGCGTGCTACTTGCTACGTGCTACTTGCCACGCCACTTTGGTGGGCGCTCGCCCTAAGATGGGCAGGACATCTAGCAAGATCACAGCAGAACAACCCTCCTAGAAGAATCCTTATGTCACAACCCGCGGGAAGTAGAAAAAGGGGTAGGCCAAAACTCAGATGGAAGGATGGTGTAGATGAGGATGGTAGAAGGATATGCGCAGCAAACTGGCAACGGTTGGCAATGGATAGGACTGCCTGGCGTAATAGACTTGGGAAGGTCGAGGCTCTTTCATAGGGCTGTAGCACCATTGATGATGATGATGAATCTCAACTCAAAGACTGAGACCATCATCACACGAAAACTTTTTTCCTTATATCAAAGGTATCACTGACAAAATCCTCAAATTAAGTGGAATAGACAATATTTACCACTCAACAAAAACTTGCATTCCTTGTCCTATCAGTCAAAGACAACATTCCAAATGAACAACACGGAGTTTATGAAATTATTTGTGCCGACTGCCTCTGATTTTGGATAGGTAAATTCCAATTCAATTTCAGCTCTAGGTCAACATTTCAACAAAGTAAAAAAAAATCCTTAATTTTACGTCAGACATTTTCTAAACTCTGGCCATTTTGTGTCACTGATTTCAAATATACCTTTCAGTATACCTATTTCCTGGACGGCGTTGTCTAATTTTCCAATTTTCCAGAGGAATACAAATTACTACGTGTAGCTGATTTTAAAGCTGTTTTTAGCTTATTTTTAATACAAGAAATTCTCATTATGATCAAAAAAGCCTTGTAGTCTGATATAATATTCTTCCTGTGCCTGATCTTGAACTATAAATTCCATGGCCAGTAGTAGTATTGTAATATTTTCCATGGTGATACTCAGTGGTTCCCTGTTGCCCTCCGCATCCTTAGTAACCCCAGGACAAAAAAGTGTCTACGGCTTACCAACACATTCGCTTAGAGACGTTGGTCAGTACTGGTAATGTACTCGGTCTCTATGTGCATTGGCTACCAAAGTGCAGATTTGGATTTTCCTTTCATTGAGATTAAGACCTTTTTAAAATTTCTTAATCTCTGCACAGATTTAGAAGACTCTGCAAAGATTTAGATAGTTATAATATTTACCAATAGCATGAAAATAATTCCATTATATTGGTTGCAATTCTCAACCATTTATCTCCATTTGCTCTACTTAGACAGCAAACCCAAATGACAGAATACAATACAATAAAAACATTTCGAACCTAATAGCGATCCGACTTAGATCCAGAAAACCCATATAGTCCCATAGTATGTGCCATACTCGACGTGAGCTAACTTGTCAACATTGACCCCGTGCTAAAGCCAGATGGCTTCTAGCCACGAAACATATGGAAGAGCATTAATAAAATTAGGACAGGGAGGGCACTAAAGAAATAAAAATCGCTACACTTACACTTAACATATTAATAAAAGAAGCGACTAGTTTAACAATTCTAAATAGCAAATTAAACATATAGCTACAATAATTTTAGTTTATTCAATCCCACAGATCCTACAACCGTAGGATTACGTTATCTCAAACACTTGCATCTATAAAATCAGAATCCCCGTCATGGTCTAGCATACCTCCTTTTATAAAAACTTCCCTCTGTAAATTTAATAAGCAACAAACAAAAAATATCATTTTTCGACAAGCTTTCAAGGATATTGTCAATACATCCCACTATGATAAGGTGCTTTATGCCGATGCATATCGAAACGCAGATGGAGTTGGCTGTTCTGTCATTACAATTGATACAGAGCTTCACGAGACAAAACTAGTCTAAATAATGCTACACAAAAACTAAAAAGGGAGATACAGAATATTAAAACTTCAACAATTAATTTTTTTTAAGTAATTTAACAGCTGACCAGAACACAGATTATTCTTTATGGAAAGCAACAAAAAGAATGAAGAGACCAATTATTCATTCTCCTCCTATCAAGTTGGAAAACGACAACTGGGCTAGAAGTAAGGAACAGAAAGCAGAACGATTTGCAGATCATTTAGAAAGCACGTTCAAACCCAACGACAATGATGGTGAAGAACTGAGACGGAAAGAACCATTCCACATTGAAGAAAGAATAACGTTGACATCGTTTAGAGAAGTATCAACAGAGATAAAAGAGAACATAAATCCTAAGAAAGCTCCAGGATATGATCTCATAACAGGAGAATTATTAAAAAATCTACCAAGAAAAGCCATAGTTAAGCTGACACACCAAATAAATGCTGCTTTTAGATTGAGATATGTTCCCAGACTCTGGAAAGTAGCCGAAGTAATTATGATCGCCAAACCAGGTAAATCTCCTAATGAAGTGACATCCTATCGACCAATATCACTTCTTCCGGTGTAGTCAAAACTATTTGAAAAACTTCTATTGAAAAGATTAAAACCAATAATAGAAAGAAAAAATTTTACACCAAATCATCAATTTGGTTTCAGCAATCAACATTCCACTATAGATCAAGTTCACAGAATAACGAATATAATAGAAAAAACATTAGAAGAAAATCAAGTCTGCTCTACAATCTTCTCGAATGTAGCACAGGCGTTTGATAAAGTCTGGCATAACGGTTTAAACTATAAACTAAGAACGTTCATGTCTAAACAGTATTCAGAAATCTTGAAATCATACATTGCGAATAGATATTTCAGAGTAAAACAAGAAGTGTACAACGACTTAACGGAGATCAAAGCTGGCGTGCCACAAGCGAGTGTCTTAGGTCCGGTCCTGTACCTATTTTATACGTGTGACATTCCAGAGCTAGAACTAAATACTATTGCCACCTTCGCGGATGATACAGCTATACTAGCGATAGGAGACACTAGTGAAAAAGCGACTGATAAGTTGTAACTATCAGTAAATAAAATACATAACTGGACCAGAAAATGGCAAATAAAATTAAATGAGACTAAATCTGCACACATTAACTTCACAAATAAAAAATAGAAAATTTCCCAGTTAGAATAAATGATACCCGAATTCCTTATGCAACATCAGCGAAATACTTGGGCATCACCCTAGACGCGAAGCTGCGCTGGAAAGTCCATGTCAAAAAGAAAAGAGGGGAGCTTGATATTAGATATAAGAAATTGTATTGGCTGATTGGAAAAAATTCAACATTATCAATTCATAATAAATTATCCATCTACAAGCAAGTACTGAGGCCAGTATGGGTATATGGGTGCCAACTCTGGGACTGTACCAAAGCTAGTAATCTACATATTATCCAGAGATTTCAAAACAAAGTACTGAGAAACATTGTTGATGCTCCTTGGTATATCCGTAATAGCAACCTCCACCAGGACCTGGGTATGGAAACTGTGACCGAAATAATCAAAAGAACAGCAGCAAGTCACGAGCAGAGGCTGCATAGTCATGTGAATGTCGAGGCAATCCAGCTTCTTGACAACACTGAACTAAAGAGAAGACTCATAAGGACAAAACCATTTGAGCTAATGTAAATGTGTAACAGTTTAGTGTAAAAAGCAGAGTATAGTGCTGTGAAGTTATTGCATGTTAGTTGTAGTGCATTAGTTAATAGATATAGAAAATAAGAGTAAGCCATAGGGTAAGCCCTTAGATTTAAGTATTTTCTGTTAGTATGTTAGGTCATAAAATAACTGATAATTGGTCATTTGTGACCAGATAGCAGTATACAAACACCGCACAGGTGTTAATAAAAAAAAGTGATACAGTATTAGGACAATACCGAATATCCATCAAAGTGTAGCTCTGCGTACCGATTCCTTATACGCAAAACATTCGTTAGAAAATATTTTCAATAAATATCACCTAGTGCAAAAAATACTATAATGGATCCATCTCCACACTTTAATAACAATAATACGTGTGCCTTCTCATATCTGCATCCAAGGAAATGATATGGGTGACAGCGCTGAAAAAGAAGCATCTACATTAAACTTACCCGTGTACAATATACAGCTCCAAGAAGACACAAGATCAATATTCAAAAGGAATGTCCAAGGCAAGCGGCAGGAACTTGAGATCACCAAAGACACAAAGCTCAGAGAAATACAACCTAATGTTAACAGCTACTTATCCCTAGCATCCCTAAACAGAGAAGAGAAGATAGCAATACGAAGATTGAGAATAAGACACACACGTTTGACATACGGTCATCTTATGTCTTCTACAGACCAACAGATATGCTCCTACTGCAACGATATTCCTAATATCGCCAAGCTCATCCTCACAGAATGTCAATACTACCAGGCCACTTGCATTGACAAACAATATAATCCACTGTTTAAAAGAACTTCTGAACTGTTCAAGCAGACTCAAGAGCCTAATAGACTTAAGTAACTACACAGTTGTTTAACAAAATATAATTTACATAATATTTTTATTCTTTACTATTGAAAACTCTATACCATAGGGACTATTGTAAACCTTTGCTCCCATCTCAATGACCAAAGATGACACACGTTAATTCGAAATAAAAAAAATTAAATTGATATAAGGTTGAATGCTCGGATAAATGAACTTTGATCAAATAAAAGGCAAATATTGAGCACAGTTTAGTTAATTTAATCTTGGTCAAATACTTTCGATCCCTAGATCATCTTCAGGGGCGTTTCGTCAATTGCGGCCTATCCGGCAAGAATGAAATGTCATAAACATAAAATGGCATATTACACTACACTAAACAAGGACAAACAAACACTTTAAATTTTTTTAAAAAATAGGCAAAGGTACATTGTGTACAGAATGCTTGCGAGATTTTTGCCTTTTATTTTATCAAAGTTAAAAAAAATAGTTTAACTTACCTTATGACTTCTGCAATAATTATGAGACAATTGATACCTAATAGATCTAAAACAAAACTGGAGGCACAGGCTTTTATTAATGACGGTTTCTTCTTGCGTAGTTGTTTATTCCATTTCTGTTGCAGCTGGTCACCCAACTTGCCCGATTCGTGGCAACTTCTATGCTCATACATATCATCTTCGGTGAGATCTTTCTTGTAACCTTTCACAAAAAATGGTAGAAGCCAACTAGAACATAAAAATAAAAATGTTATTTATACCGAAAAAATTCTAATTAATTTGATTTAAACCCATTGTCTAATTTTTGTTTCTTCTTGATGGTTTTTCTGTCTGTCTATTCTCTCTCTCGGTCTTTCTCTTCAGTCGTGACTCTCGGGAGGAAGTGTAGTAGTCATCGGTTTGTCGACGAGTGCAGTAAAGAGAGCGCGGGCGCGAGTTTACATGTAATCTTCCTCGTTCAGTATCAATAAAAATATTAAGACTTATTACTTTTTCGCCAATTGCTTCAGTGTTGAACTGTTATTCTCTTTTTAACTGTTGTTCGCTTTTATAAAGACAGAAAGAAATGAATTACATTTATTATTTACTGTCAAATATTAATAATGCGTCATAAATTTTCTTTGAAAATATATTAAGCTATGTAAAAAACTTTGTCTCGATAATAAACTAAAATAAAAAAAATAAAATAAATGACAGATTAAATGATAGACCAAACAATTAAATTTTCATACTCCGCGTCTGTCAATATTCGTCAAATTTAAGATTTGATTTTATTATATTTCATTGTATATTTTCTTTTCCTTTATTATTATTATTATTATTATAACAAAAGCGAGGGCAGAGGAACTAAGTCTCTATTATGTCCAAAAACAAAGAAATTTCATTAATAACCTACTATAATATAAAACAGTTAAGTCTGTTTTTGAAGGAGTTGGTAGAAGGAGCGGAGACAATATTATCGGTAAGGTTATTCCAGCACTCAAAAACTCTATTTGGAAGAAAGTTCTGTATTGATCTTGTAGAAAAATTTTCTTTCTTTAGTTTATACTGATGACCTCTGAGGCGTTCATCTTGATTTATGATAAATATTTCATCGAGGTTTCCAAAATTGAATTTTAGTATTTTAAATGTTGTAATTAAGGCTCAACGTTGTCGGAGAAGTTCAAAAGTAGTTAGGTTAGCCATACTAAGTCTTTAAGACTTAGTATGGCTAACCTAACTAAGTCTGCATAAGAAGGTCTACTCGGTCCCAAAGAAATTCAAGTGGCTTTTCTTTGAACGTTTTCCAACAAAGTCTTGTCTCGAACCAGATCAGGATACCACGTTGGTCCAGCGTATTCAAGTATGGGTCTTACGTACAGAGTGTAAAGTTTACAGAATGACTGCATTGAAACTTTCGAAAAACACCTCCGAATAAGATACAGTCTGGAGTTTGCACGTTTACAAATAGAGGTAATATGGTCGGACCAAGTTAGGCTGGTTATGACTAGACGATAACACCACGATCGTTATACGAAAACACAGATTCTAATGGCTGCCCGTTAACAAAGTACGGCACAAGTGGGTTATTTTTACTATAATATATATATATATATATATATATATATATATATATATATATATATATATATATATATATATATAGAGTGTGTGTAACGACGCTAAGAATACAATTCTTTGGAGGGTAACTTTCGGGAAAGCGTCAAAACAAGGATCAGCTAGAGATGGTATAAGCCAGCTTGGTGTAGAACTTTATTCTATATGTGAAATTTTCGGTGATATGTTGTCACCTTCATCAGCACCTAAATGGAAAACCTATTATAGTACAGTGGTGGAAATCAACATTTAAAAACCTACATTGAAAATGTTCAGTTGGTCCTAGTTGTAAAAAACACTGTCACAAACATGTTAAAAATATTAAAAAATACATTTAAAATTTTGAATAAAAACATTACAAACAACAGGGTAGTTTTTCAAATACAAACACAACAAAAAATCTAAAATTTACAACCTACAAAAACTACAAATAGAAAAGAAGAATTAATCTTCTTTTTTGATGACATATTTCTGTCAACATCCGGGTGTCATATGTAACGAGGTTATAATTTTCACTTTTGCACATCACAACCACATGGATACGAAAAGACAGAGCCCTAGGCAACATAATAAGCAAGGAAATAAAGTCCCCTCTAAAGCACAGGTAGGTAATCTATGCATGTCATGATAAGTTCCCCACATTTTCCAGTTTGTTACTTCTTGTCAAGTCCTGTTGAAGTAGAAAGGAATAAATACAACTTAAGTTTTCAACATCTTTCTTACAGTTCATAGGAGAGCTGCAGTTATGGATGTAGCACATTTCTATAAAGTTTCTCTTAAATTGGTTGTCAACCCTCTTTAGTACTTGCACATTTTCATAGTTAGCAGTGTGTCCAGTATTCTTAATATGTTGGCTAAAGGCTGTGCTGGTGGGCTTCCTCACAACATCACTCCTGTGCAAAGCTATTCTTTTTGAGAGTTTCTGGCTGGTTTGACCGACATACACTTCTGAACAAGAACCACATGGAATAGAATACACTACATTGAAGTTATCCAGTTTTTTAACTCTTTCTGTCAGGTGAGTAAAGTATGTCCCTAATCTTTTGTAAACAGAATTTGCTATCACTATGTTGAACTGTCTGAAAAGGTTTGTGATCTGTGGTGATAAACCTTTGATGTAAGGCAATCTCCCATAGAACACTTCTACTGTTTCTCCTTCTAATGTTTGTCTTTGCTGTGTTCTAACTGTTGGCATATCTTGAAACAGCAATTTATTAAGAAGCATCTTAGGGTAGTGATTTTTTCTAAGAATCTCATACAATAACTTGATGTTCTTATTGTAGTTTGAAGGGTGACAAATTCTTTTTATTCTGTTTTTCAGACCTTTGATGATGTTTGATGAAAAAAAGAGGAGTATATATATATATATATATATATATATATATATATATATATATATATTTACTACACATTTTCCGCGTTTAAGGGTAGTAACCACTGGGAACACCAAGTTAAAATAGAGTCCAATTCCATTTGGAGGGTTAGCTGGTTTGTGTTTGGATTGGCATATATTTTTGTGTCGTCAGCGTAGAACGATATTTTATTTGAGACATAATAAGGAATGTCGCTGGTGTAAACCGTAAAAAGCAGAGGTCCAAGGACGGAACCCTGAGGCACTCCACTTTCCACTAACCTGTCCTGTGAGAAAGATTCGTTAACTCTAATTTTGTAATATCGATCTGTCAGGAAATCATTTATCCAACGAAGTGAAGTACCGCGAACTCCGAAATGTTCTAGCTTATGTAGAAGTCTGCACTTAGGTACATGGTCAAAGGCTTTAGAAAAATCTAGATAAACAACGTCGACCGGCTGCGAACTGTTAAGGGATGACGTCCAGTCGTTAACACAATGTAGGAGATTGGTTAGAGTAGAGCGACCTGAGACAAATCCATGTTGTTGTGTTGGAGTAACATGTTCCTGGAAAAGGAATTTGGTCATCTCCTCGGAAATAATGGCTTCCATAACTTTGGCAACTACTGGCAGCAAGCTAATCGGACGATAATTGTTGGGGTCGAGTTTGTTGCCTTTTTTAAAAATAGGGGTAACGGAAGCTAATTTACAACTAGTTGGTAAGGAGTTCTGGATGAAAGAGTTTAATTAAGTGTTGTTTGACATGATCCACTCTGAATTCAACTTGCTGTAAGGATGCGCCGACACGATTACAGTTAATAGCAGGTAGATAACCATCATTTGATTCTTTAGTAAAAACCTGTGAAAATGCTAAATAGAGAGTTTCGGAAGATTCTTTGTCAGAAGAGCATAAAATCTGGTTGGGTTTTTGAAGTAGCGGAATGGAAACTTTAGATGTCATAGAGGAACGTATGTATTTATAGACTTTTTTAATGTTACCACTTTCAATAACATTTGCTTCAAAATTTTGTCTTAGGGTTTTTAGAGATGTTTTTAAGTTATTTGAAAATCTGCGGTGGCTTTGGAAATCACTAAGAAGCCCGGTGTGCTTAAATTTTCGCCATAGATGTCGTTTGTGATTCATTTGTTTAATTGCTGTTCGATTTATCCAGGGATTAAGGTTGTTTTTATAACTATTACGGAAAGTAGTATTTGTAGAAATTGTATTGTGGACGGTGTAATGAGGGGTCGTTTAAGTATGCAAAAAATAAATGCCAGTCAATTTGAGAGAGTTCAGTGTCAAATTCAGAAAAGGTAGTAGCATATATTGCAATGTTATTTTTGCGGGGTAATATTGGATTGAACTGGATGTGAGCCGTTATAACTGCATGATCTGACTTTCCTAGAGGAGAACTGATTTCGAGAGATGAAATCAGCTGTTCGTCATTAATAAGCACTAGATCTAAAGTAGAAAGTTGGTTATTATTCCTAGATCTAGTAGGTTCTGTAATGAGTTGTATCAGGTTTGAATTTACTACAAAGCTTTTAAATAAATTATGAGCGTTTTCGGTGTCAGATAGTTATTGGCCAGGTGATCTCTATTTTATTTTATTCTATTTTATTCTAATTTATTTTATTTTATTTTATATTACTTTACCTTAATTTTATTTTGTTTTATTATATTCTATTGTATTCTAATTTATTTTATTTTACTTTATTTTACTCTATTTTATCTAGTTGTTCTATTTTATTCTATTTTACTCTATTTAATTATATTTTATTCTAATTTTATTTAATATTATTTTGTTTTGTTCTATTTTATTTTATTTTGTTGTATTTTATTCTACTTTATTATTTTGTTAATTGTAGTTTTCTTTCTGAGTCATAGTATGGCGCCATCTATTAGTTATGTTGTAATTTTTAATGTCAGAAAAAACTGTTTTTAAGGTCTTTTAATACAATTATTTCAAAATTATCTTTTACACAAACCTTCTCTTGATAATAACAGACACAATAAATAGAGAATTATCGAATCTATTTAAGTAATATATATTTTCTAACTATAACTAATGAAAAATACTACGACGTCAACAAAATTTTAAAATATTTGTAATAATAATTATGATCCTTATCTTAATTAATTGTTGAGCAGTGTAGATGTAGGAAACTTAACACGTTCGTACCGTAGCCGATTACCAATGTGGTAATTCACAGCCGTAATTTTTTTTTTCGACTAACAGGTAAATTATTTGTGTGTATTATTGATCAACAAATATATATATATATATATATATATATATATATATATATATATATATATATTTTATGGTTTTTTATTGTTTTTTGTTGTTTTTAAACATGTACCACCGGTGGTACATGACGGCTGTGACATAAGTTTGTTGCTCAAGGACGTCGTGTACCACCGGTGGCCACGATGTATGAGGTAAGTTTATTGCTAATTATCTTTCTATTGTTTCAGATAATTAACTTGCAACAATGTTAAATAGAACAGCAAAGATTTTAGAAGCTGCTGCACGACTAGAAAGTACATCAGATCCGTCAGGGCCATCATGTTCCCCAATGATACTGAAAATCCAAATAATATTGTTAATACTGCTTCATCTTCTTCACCTCAAAATAAAACGGATTAACCTCAGAGCTCTGTGAAGCAACCACAGCGATTACGTCCAAGAAACTATCCAGCAGAATTATTTTCACCAGGTGATGAAAGCGACCCATATGCAGATTCTGAATCTTCTTACCAGCCTTCAGACCAACAAGAAAGTAACGACGAGAATCTTCAGAAGATGAGCAGTGAGAATTCTTCAGAAGATGAGAAGTGAGAATTCTTCAGAAGATACTGATGACAGTGATCAAGTTGCTGGAACCACAGTAAATCCTAATGAAACTGCAACAAAACCTATAACGACCGATGATAGTTGGGGGCCATGCGGACCAGTCACAAATAATTTTCAGTTTACCTTACAAAGTGACTGTCAACTCAATCCAAATGACTTTTGCGACCCTTACAAAATCTATCGCCAGTTCATCGACGACAACGTGCTTGAACTAATGGTGAGAGAAACAAACAGATATGCGGACCATTACAAGAAGTCACGAAATTTCTCGCAGGTCAGAAATATGTAAATGAACTGACACCAACAAAAGAGAAATTCGAATTTTTTTTTGGTATTCTCTTAGTTATGGGAATAAATCATTTTCCTAAAATGCGTTACTCTTAGTCCCGAAATCCAATGTACAAAAATGACTTTATTTCCAAAAGCATGAAACGTGACAGATCTGACTTATTGCTTAAATTCATTCATTTCGCTGACAACGAACAAAATATAGAAAACCCAGATTGATTAGCAAAGGTGAGAAATGTGTTAGATCGTATAAAGAGAAACTTTCAAGAGGCTCTCATACCAGGAAACATAGTCGTTATTGACGAAACCATGGTTCCATGGAGAGGTCGATTGCTTTTTCGCCAGTACTTTTTGGCTAAGTCCCACAAATATGGTATCAAAGTCTACAAGATTTGCACACCTGACGCGTATACTTATAACTTTAGTACCTACTGTGGTAAAAACGAAAACGTAAGTGACCATGGACATACTTTTGATATCACAGTCAAGTTGATGGAAGATTTACTAAATAATGGTACAGTGTTATACACCGACAATTTTTATACCAGCGTAAAATTAGCAGAACACCTTTTACAAAATAAAACTTATTTGTGTGGGACTTTGAGATCCAACAGGAAAGGGAATCCGAAAGATGTTTGGAATAAAAAACTGAAAAGAGGTAAAGTTTTAGTGAATGGTTAGATAGAAGACCGGTTATAATGCTCAGTACTTTACCTGTACATATGGATGAATTGATCACTACAGAAAGGACGAACAGAAAGGGTGACGATATTAAAAAACCACAATGTATAATAGATTACAACAGCGCCAAAAAAGGTGTAGTATCTGACCAAATGTCTTCATATTATACTTGCCTGAGGAAAACGATTAAGTGGTATAATAAGGCTGTCCTTGAAATCATTTTAGGAACCGCTTTTGTAATTCGTGGGTAATTTATCAGAATATAAAAAATTGAGATTTTACAATTTAGAGAACTTTTAATACAAGCACTGCTTATTGAGGAAGACAATGAAGAAGAAATAGAGGACGAACAAGACGTACCGGTACCGAGAAGAAACGCAAAATCGACACATAAAATTAAAAAAACTTTAAGGTTGTGCTAAAAAAATAGAAAACGGCGTACCTCCTGTTATGAAAAATTAAAATCAAAAAGGGGATCAAAGGAAGCAAGAGCCAAAGCTAAGAGAGTAATGACCTACAGCGATGATTGTCACCTTAAACCGCCAATGTGTTTAGAATGTTTTAACGAAAAACATTAGTAAATTCTTACTTTTAAGATTAACAATTTTGTTTTACTTTTAATAAGTTCTATTATTTTATTTTTTTGTTCTTCTAAGTTTGTATAATATGTTAGGTTTTAGTTGTTTTTTATGTCCTGTATCAAAATATAATTGCCTAAATAAAATAAAATTGCAAATATTCCTAAACTCAATTATTTTAGTAGTATCTTCAAAATAATGCGATAATAAATTCAAAAATGATCCGACTTAGAACTGAATGTACCACAGGTTATGTATAGGTAATGGATTTTGGGAACAGCTATGACCTTGAAAATGCCACAAAGAATATAACTAAATATCTCTTTTCTTACTCAGACTCCTTAAAGTATTTTACAATATTTTAGAATCGAAGATATGTAATTATATTATTAATGTATTGGATTTGAGCTATGCATTATGCCTATTTAGTACACAAGTTTATGTGAAATGTTCAAGGTCATAGCTGTTCCCAAAATCCATTACCTCTACCACCTTTACATACAGCCGTAACTTGTTTTCTACGGTTTCTATACAGCCGTAGCGTTTTTAAATACGAATAAATATAAAATGCACTGTATACCACATGTGGTACATGACGGCTGTTAATATGAGCCGGCATGTACCACATGTGGTACACGGTGGCATAAACGTGTTAAAATGTTTCAAAGTTAACGCAGAACATTATTTTTATTGAAAATCATTAACGTTTATTAACAGCTTTCAAATGCAACTTAATATAATTGATGTTAACTTGTGTAAACAAAACAAAAAACAAATAGATAAGTCTACTTATAACAATAATAAATAAAATGCACAAAACAAAAATATTTTCAGAATGTTTACACCAAAAGTTAAATAATAATTTTACTGATTTAGTTACTTACAAAAAAAATATTGATGATAATATATTAGCAGTGTCTAAAGGATTTTTCTTCTTCGTTTTTGCTTTGCCGTGTATTTCTTCCATATTTTTGTATCTGTAAAAGATAAACAATAATTACACAAATGTTTGGAATACATGATTCACAAAAATGAGATAAAGAATAATATGAGAAGATAATTCCAGAGAGAAATTACGAATTATGAAATAAGAACTAAAAAAAGGAAAGCTAGGTAATCAGTTCCGCTGACATCGTAATAAAGAGTAACTTTTGCAGAAGTAAAGTGTACATGTATTGTCACTAATGTGATAATTATACATAGAGATGTGGTAGGACGGGACAGCGATTTTTGTTACGGAACGGGACTGGCGCTTTGTATCCCGGGACGTCGCGCATGTCCCGCAAAAACTTCACTTTTATTATTATTGGAATGATTTAATAATTAAATTTATAACAGTATCCGCATTATGTTTGAAACGTAAAAGTTTTCAACAATTCTTTTTGATATATTTGGATGCACGAATGGTATGTTTTGATCTAGGTCTTCCTTATATACCACCACGCGTCATTACCGCGACACGACCGGGTGTATCTTTGACTATAACCGTGAACATGGAGGGGTTTCTTTCCTAATTTCATTCTTTAATTCGCCTAAATTAAAATGTTTCCAATTTACGTAGATCCTTCTCCTTTTCCTAAGCGATCTAAAATTGCAATGTTCGTTTCCAACGAAATTGATTGTCTTTGATGTGTAACGATCAAACACTGAAAACTTTGTTTTCTAAACTTTATTACACAAAATTTATTATAAAAACTTATCACTACTGCTGTTTTGGCAGAATCCCTTTCTCACGTGATCTAGTTTTGGCATGCGTTTACACTTTATAGTCTTCAATGAAATTTGAAATTCGTCACTAAAAGAATGATTATGATCTAGAAGGTGAAGTGCGTATGTAGAATCTGTTTTTCTATTATTGAAAGCCCTTTTATGTTCTGCCATTCGTTTATAAAAGTTTCTACCAGTTTGACCGATGTAAGTTTTTGGGCAGTCGCCACATTTAAGTTTGTTTGTATATAAAAGTGCTTTTTATTTTGCCTCTTTTTGTTTTTAATATATTTGCTTAAGTTGTTGTTTGTTCTGAAATCTAGTGTTATTTATTTCTTTTTTATGTGTTTGTCTTTTTTGGTTGATATTTTGCCTGTATATGTAATCGAGCAGAAGGTATTGAGATTTGTCTCTGGTGGTGGAAATACTAATTTCAGGGCTTTCTTGTGTAGAATTTGATTTAAAATTTTATTAACTGTTTGTTCGTTGTATCCATTGTTTACTGCTATTTGCTTAATGGTATTTAATTTTGTCTCAAAGTTGTATTTTGACATCGGAATTTCTGTTAATCTATGTAACATACTATGATAGGCTGCCAGTTTATCTTGTGTGGGATGGGATGATGAATTGTGTATAGTCGTGTCAGTATGGGTAGGTTTATGAAATATGGAGAAGTCATGTTTTTTTTAAGTCTGATGATATTTAAATCTAAAAGATTTATGGATTGAAAAGAATTAAATACCAATAAGCAAATAGCAATAAACAATGGATACAACGAACAAACAATTAATAAAATTTTAAATAAAAAACTACACAAGAAAGCCCTGAAATTAGTATTTTCACCACCAGAAAAAAAACCCAGTACCTTGTGCTCCTACCAAACACATAAAAAAGAAAGGAATAACACCAGCTTTCAGAACAAACAACAGCTTAGGCAAATATATTAAAAATAACAAGAGCCGAAATAAAAAGCACTTACACAGTGGTGTATACAAACTTAAATGTGGCGACTGCCCAAAAACTTACATCGGTCAAACTGGTAGAAACTTTAATAAAAGAATAGCAGAACGTAAAAGGACCTTCAATAATAGAAAAATAGATTCTACATCATCTACATCTACTTCACCTTCTAGTTCATATTCATTTTTTTAATGACGAATTTCAAATTCTTTACATTCAAAATAAAGGCCTTAAGCTATCTTTGTTAGAATCTATGGAAATTAACAAATCAAAAACAGATATAATTTTGAATGACCAACTTGAGACAAACAGTTCTCCCTTCCTCAACATATTTCATTAAAGACTATAAAGTGTAAACGCATGCCAAAAATAGATCACTTGAGAAAGACACTCTGCCGAAACTGCTGTAGTGATAGGATTTTATAATAAATTTTGTGAAAGTTTTGACAACGAAGTTTTCAGTGTTTTATTGTTACATAAAATGAATTTCTATCCAGTAACGGTCGAATCCATCAACTGTCTTAGATGTTTTTTTCTCCAAATAAAATCTTAAAACAAAGAAATAAAAAAAATAGACTTACGACATTGAGATGACAAAAACCTATTCTAATGAAACTTAAAATTTTATGACACTCACTTGAAACGTTTCTAACCGAAAACCGTGCTGCTTGTTATACTACAAATTGAAATCAGCAACATTTTATACAACTTATTATAAAACTAAGCACTGCTAAGAGAAAAATGATTTTAAGACAATAACAGGTTATACCTTTCAATGTGAAACTCGCAATGATGTAATATAATAGGGACATCATGTAACAAGGGAATCCCGATTTGCATTATCATAATTTTACTGACATCTGGGTATGAAAAGTTAATATTTAATTATAATCGCTTTATATTGTAGTAAGTAGAATAGAACATTTTTTGATGAAATACAAACCACACTTTAAAATCCCATAAAAATAATCCGCATAAAAAGATACGTTACTGTATTCAGTTCTTAATAGTATCTAATTTTAAAAATTAATTTAAATCATTTTAACACTAAAGTTACAAAAATCCTGTAAGTCAACTTATCGTCGAAATAGATTTTGGTATAAAAAATAATTTATAATAGAAGTTACACAGCATAATGCAGTTACAATAAGTATAGTAATATCTTTCGAGTTCACAGTTTATAATGATACTGTATATACGCTCGTTTCATTTTGAATATTTAGTAATAAACGAATGCAAATTTTTAAGATCTAGATGTGAAAAATTTAAAAGAGAACTGGTTCGGTTGAAATCGAATATAATTTGGTGTACATCTGCCAGTCATTATCTGTCTAATTAAGGAACTGTTGTATAACCGATTTCAAGGATTTTTAGAATTTTATAAACAGCATTAACGTTGTTCGCATTTTTACAATAATTATTCATTTCGTATTTTTCCCCGTTATTTCATAAACGGGTAGATAACATGATTGGACATTTTAATATAATACAGGCAACAGGCAACTAAGAATTTATTCGGCATTCGACATGTTTGGAGAGTATGATAAATTTCATGTAAAAGTAGAATTACATGAGGACATGAGGGCTGAGTACTTAGTCCTTATTTATTCCCATTAGTGTTGGATTATACATCATAGCTAATGATATTAATAGGAAACACTGAAAAGGAATTATATCAAAGACTGGAACAATGTCGAAAAAATATTTCAAGTTCAGTAGGATAAAAACGAAGGACCTACCTAGAATAAGAACCATATAAGATAAGAAGTTTGGATCGTGAAATGTTAGTAAACAGTAATAATTTTCAGTACCTATCATCCACACATCATTATTAATCTATTCAGTGTTTTGTATATTTTTATCTTTGCCCTATAGTACCCTATACTAGTAGAAGCCAGCAAGTGTGTGGTAGTTTAGCGATACACTGAGAAATCCGGACCGTACGCGCTTCGTTTTAAAAATCGTTATTTATTAATTTAACTGAGTTAAATAAGAGAATAAACAAAAAAAAACAAATTAATTCTATATAAAAATAGCCTGTATACATAACATATCTAATTCCTCGTAAATACTTACATACAAAAAAAAATGCAAGTAGTTTACCCTATACGACAAGATAAATATAAATACATAAAATACACAAAAAAATCATAACTGAAATGTACTGAACGTACAGTACTGAACGTACAGTACTAAAAGAACAAACGAGCATTAAATCTGAGATATTTCTCGTTAATTAATACTAATCGCATTCCATATCTAAATTGCCCTAATCCTCTGAATCATCTCCTATATTAACCCTCTATAGCCCCGTGTGTATTCAAGGCAACAAAGGAGTTTTTGATGCAGAAAACTTTTTTCCGACTCTAAGATGCCCTCTGTTGATTTCAGGCAACATTTGGTTATACATTTTAATACACTTAGTGCCATCTATGAACCTATGACGAAACAGTATGTCAAATGCACATGACTGCGTTATTAGTTTATATTTTTGATCGTAATTTATTGTTATAAATTGTGTACAATTTATATAAAAATACTTAGAGGCATTATACTAGCATTTAGATATTGATTGCTGTTGAAATTTGTTTATTTTATTGTGTTGTTTCAGTACTGTGATAAAAAACAGGCATGTTGCTTAAAATCCAGCCTGGACCATATCATTTTAAATTATTTTTTTAGGATGGATACAAAAATGTTCTACGGGAAAAGCAGTAAATATCCGTTATTGTTTGTAAAAGTTCCCAACATATCCGAGGAATCCGAAGACTCTGACTTTGAAAAGAGTGATAATGAATTTTTCATGGGTACTCAGATATCAATCGATTCAGGATCAAATGAAATGGAAAGTGAAGACGTTTTGTACGAAGTAAATTTAGACCAGGATACCAATATACATTTAGACCAAGATGAAGATGAGGATGATACCGATAAAACAGAAAAAAACACTGAACAAAATGAGTTCAAAATGTTAAAAATGATCGAAAAAAACATTCAGTGGAATAGTGGTCCCCGAACAGTATTTCCAATTGCAGAATGGAAAGGTAATTTACCGACATGCAAAATATTAGAACCGGAATCCCCTCTACATTATTTTAAAAAGATGATATCTACTAAAATGCTGAATGAAACCAATTTATAGGATCTGTTCTACTGATGTCAATATATGGCTTGCCAAGGACAAGATCATTTTGGCAAAAGAAAACACGTGTTGCTCAAATAGTTGACACTATATCTAGGAATCCCTGGGAAAAACTAAAAACTAAAATTCATTTCAATAATAATGAAAATATGGTCAAC